ATTATGATGGAGTCATCCGGTATGATGCCATAGAGATTGGGTCTGAACCTGAAATTAGATCAATCCCAAATTCGACCTCTCTCTGAGGTGACAGCCTTGGTATCTCATCTGGAAACACATCAGGAAATTCACTCACAACCGATACCTCTTCCACTATATTATCCTTCATTTCATCCATCTGAGTTAGAATCATATAACACTAAGCTCCCTCTCGTAGCTCTTTCTGAACCTACCGAGTTGATGTAACAAGCTCATTTTCTGATTCCGGATGCACCAACCTTTTCTGTCCACAGTCAATCAAAATGTGATTGGTGGATAACCAATTTATCCCTAAGATCACATCCAAATCCTTCAAAGGTAAACTGATTAAGTTTACCTTCTACTATCGTCCTTCTACGACAACTGGGCACCTCAAACACACATAAGAAGACACCACCAGTCCAGTTGCTGGGGTAGATACCCTCAATTCATAAGGTAGGTCACACACAGATAAATTAAGTTTATCCATACACTTATCAGCAATAAAAGAATGGGTAACAACTGAATCAAACAAAACTCGTAGAGGTATATCAGAGATAGAGCACACATCTTGCACTCAATTATCTGACATTGATGCCTCTGCTCCTAACAAGGCAAACACCTGCCCTACAGCTCTGGGTTTCGCCTCACTCCCCCTGGGTACTGATGATGCTCCAGCTGAGACTGTAAGATTGAACTTCTGTGGACAGTCTCTAGCCATATGTCCTGACTTCTGGCAAGTGTAGTAAAGACCTGCCCGAGAAGTCTGGGAAGGAGTAGTGAAGGCATTCTGTGGGCACTGATTCCTGTAATGAGGGCCTCCACATTGAAAATATTTCACCTCGGATACAGATCCAGATGATCTGGGTGCTGGGGTAACGCTGCCACTCCTAGAAAACTGGGGACGTGAATAAGACATCCTCCTCTCTGATCTATTACCCCTACTCGGGACCCCACTTGGGTGGGTCCTCATCACTCTGACTCCTCCTTCTTGGAGTCTATCTATTGTCTTTGTTTTCTCCACTAGCTCTGGGAATCTCTTGATAGAGAAAGGAACCACCATGAGCTTGATCTCAGCCCTCAAGCCCTCTTCAAACTTCCTGCAAAGCCACTGTTCTGAAGATGTACATGTGTAAAAACGAGATAAGTGCTCAAATTGTATGACGTAATCATGCACCGTCATATTGCCTTGTCTCAGACTTAGGAACTCAGTCTCTTTCTGAAATGTAATACTGTCAGGGAAGTATTTCTCCAGAAATCTCTCATGGAAGGTTTCCCAATTACACACCTACCCATGTGCAATCATCATCCTCTGAGTCCCTGACCACCAGAACTCAGCCTCATCCACTAGTAAGTATTTCTCGAAGATCAATTTCCTGTCCTCCGGGCATAAGGTAGCCTAAGAAATCTTCTCCACTTCACATAACCACTTCTCTGCTGCATCTAGACCCAAATCTCCTCCAAAACGAGGCGGATTATGCCTCATAAACTCAATCATCCCCATCTGCTCTGACTGGTGGAATCCAGCAAAGGATGACGTCATAGTTGGCTTCCACTGCAGGTAGGTATTCTGCTGCTATATGACAGCTGTCAACATTTCCATAGCCCTAGCTAGGGCATCTACACTTGGCAGAGTAGGAGTAGGAGGTCGCGGTGTCATCCTATATTAAACACAATCATAAATACAGAGCAAACATTCACACACACTCACATATCAGAGCACAACAGACTTATCCTAGGGTCACTACTCATCCCCATAGATTTACAAGGATACTACCGCTCTTATACCACTATTGTAACGATCCTAGAAATCGTTGTTGTAATGATACCTTCGCAAAATAGTAAACAAGTAAATAACAACATTTATATTACATTATATTACTGTAAATGTAATATAGACTGAAATCTCGGTTCATTGGCGGAACCTTAAAACATAGTAACATAATTTATTTATTTATATAGATACATACAAAAGTAGTTCTAACAAAGCTATCTCACTAAACTATCCCTACTGTCCAGTAGTCGCATCTCCACCTTTCAACTCCTGATCTGCTCTCAAATAAAAGTAATCATCGCAGTCCCATCCACATGGAAAAATAGGGGTAAGTATTAAATCATTCGATATAATAAAACTGATATAGAAGTAATAATTACATATTATCATCAATTACAAATCATCAATACACTAAGATGCCTTCCGGAAGTCTACCCTAACTATGCCCGAACTCAGAGGCTATCATCTGTGGGCACATTGTGATCGGCACCCGTAATACCATTCTGACCACCCTCCACACAGAGTAGGATTACTGGCGCCCTTCATCTCTCATACTACAGTACCCCTCCTAGTCACTAGTCATCCCCCCATCGACTTCTCACCACCTGATCTCATAGTCTACCTGACCCGACCAATCAGTGAAGTCTGGGACCTTATTCAGAATCCTCTGGACATAGTTATTACACTAATGTAATCTGTACTACCCCGGGTACCATTCAAACACAACAAAAATCATTCACATTTGTCGGATTCTGGACCACCTGTCCTCACAACTCATTTGTGTCAATAAATAATAGTATTTGACTGATTATGAGCACCAAACCTCCAGCTCAGTCTAGTCAATACATATTATCTCATGACTGATTCTGGACATGAGCCCTTAGACTCGATCCGACCCACACACGTCACAACACACTGTCGAATCTTTAAAACTACTACCTTCATTCTATAGTTTAAATATATATATTCTTTTTTTTTTTTAAATCATTTTCAAAATCATTAAATTACTATTTTGCCCTTAATCTTTTCTGAAAATTTCATGTATGTCCTTAAATGACTATTTTACCCTTGAACATTTTCAAAAATTTCTTCCATGTCTTGAAAATGACTATTTTACCCTTGAACATTTTTTAAAATTCCTTCCATGTCCCGAAAATGACTATTTTACCCTTGAACATTTTTGAAAATTCCTTCCATGTCCCTTTCTTCTTTCTCGCGTCCGAGTAACAATATCAAATTTTGCAAATTTTAGCAAATTTCAAATTTCTCAGTTTTAGACAATCGAACTAGTTCCAAATTCAAATTAAACATGACTTAAATCTAATTTAAGTTGAAAACAACAATTTTACCATATAATTCATCCTTAATTTCAAGAATTCCAACAAAATTTCAAGTTTTACAAAACATGAGAAATCTTCAAAATCAATCATTCTAATATTCAAATTTTCACTCATATTCCTAATTCACATAGTACTCAATAATTCAGTCTCATATATTGAATTAATAAAATTTTCCCTTACCTGGTGTGTTATTTATACCGAAGTTTTTCCACTTAATTCAAGTTCTCTTCCGTTTCACTAGATCCTGCACGAATTTAGACAAAAAAAGAAGAAAGATGAGAGGAATAACTACTTACTGAATTTTTTTCTGCCTCCTCCCCCTTTCTATACGTACATATATATATATATATATATAAAAGAAAAAATTTTATTGAGAAAAATTTCGTTACAAAGTTTTCTTGCATAATAATATTATTATAATATATAATAATAAAACATCACGTGACAATTAACATAATTTTTTATTTAAAAATATTAAATTACAAAAAATAAATCTTACTCCCTGTGCTCTCAAGCGAATACCTATCTTTATATAGATATAGCTTAACTTTAAGATATCATATCTTTATTAAATAGTTGACTTGTATTTTTATTTTCAAATTATTAATTTTATCTTTTAACTTTTTAGGTTATATTTAATTTGATCTCTTGATTAAATTAAAGAAAAAAATAAAATAATCATTGAATAAGTTCAGAATTAACCTTATCAATAATATATATAAAAATATATTTACTTTTAAAAATAATCACAAAACAACGTTTTTATTTTAAATACTTTTACTGCCACATTAATACTCAAAGACCTCTAAATGTATCTTTAATAAGAACAACTCGTTTAAATTATTTTTTATCACGAAAAATATAAAATATAGATTTATCATATCATATCATTTTTAAATATTTTATTATTAAATTTATTTTATTATTTTTTTTAATAAAATTTAAAAAATTCATTATTTCTTCTTATTCATTTTTTATTTTTTTCTCTCGTTATATTTTATTTTTATAATTAAAAATATATTAAATTTTATAAATATATGTTAAAATATTTTACAAAAATAATATTAAAAGTAATAAAATATGTATTTAGAAGTACTTTTTAATAAATACTTTTTTAGAAAATTATTTCAGAATGACAGTTTTTTTTTCAATTACAGCATCAAATAAAAGTAAATTTTTTAAAAAAAACTAAGTGTTCTTCTTTTTAACATTTTTTTATCACTTATATATTTAAATTATTGACAGAACTAATTTTAATTTGACTACTTTGTTATTTTTAAAAAAAGTAAATAACCAAATTAAACTGATACAGAATCAAAATGAATCTATACTTAAACATACAAATGATAATATGATATATTTGTGAAAGTATTATTTATTCATTAAATGTGATATTAATGTAGATACATATTAAAAGTTTATAATTAATGAAAATAATAATTATTTTAATTTAATTCCTGAATGTCCATATATATTAATCGGTTTATCTTACTGTTATTTGAAAAATTAGTTTATAAAACGCGTTTTGAAATAGAACAAAAACTAAAAACATCATTTTATAGTTCTGAACATTCAAAATGAATATAGAAATCAAAACTAAATGTGCATATAATAATGCCATTTACCCATGTAGAACAATAATAAATAATTTTGTATCCGAATAATAAATAATTCTAAAATGGTAAAAAATTAATGTAAAAAAGGTAAATAATGTACCCTTAAATTTTATTTTATTTTTCAAAAAAAATAAAACACCCCCACTTGAGGTATAAATTAGAAGCCAATCACAAAAGCATTATTCATATATTTTGTGACAAGTAATAGGACATTAGAAGAAGAAAGAGAGAGAGTTATCAGTTACAAGCACAATGAAAGTTGAGTGTGTTCTTGTGGTGTTTGTTGTCTTTGCTCTTGCAGTTGCTGAGACAGAGATAAAACCTAGTGTTTGGGAGCCCATTGAAGACATCAACGATCCTCATGTGACAGAGATAGCGAATTTCGCCGTGAAGAAATATGACGAGGAAAATGGTCAAAGCCTGAAGTTGGAGAAGGTGATAAAAGGTGACACTGAAGAAGTAAGATTGGCAACTTTTTATCGCCTCACTCTCAGCGCCACCAATGGCTCCTCTTCCAACAATTATGAAGCCGTTGTGTGGGAGACAGCGTTCGTGCATATCAAGAATTTCGTTTCTTTTACTCCTGTTACTGCTTAATGTTACTCTCTGTTTCTAAATATATGCGTTTAAGATAAGTAAAACTCTCTGCTTAATTTATTTTATGTGTATCAATCCTTTCTTCTGCACCCGTTGCGATCTTCTAAAACATACAATTTTGTGTTTTTTATGTTTGAATGGAGCAATGGAGCCAGGTGTTTGTGGCCGAACAAATAGAAAAAAAAAATCAATATGGTTGATTAATTGGATGAAAAAAATACATTAAAGAGGTACAATTTATTTTAAATAATTTTGAAATGTTTTTTTTTATATGAGTTTAGATAAATAATGTCACTAAACACTGTTTTAATATGAAGACATTTTTTTCTTAGTAAGATTTTAATTCTATAGTATTTTTATTTTAAAAAAATTAAAATACCACTTTAATAAATAAACTAAATAACAATAGTAATAATTATCTTTTATTTTTTTTATAATAGTAACAATTCTTCTTTTTATTCTTATCATAATAAAAAAATAATAATACTTATAAAATAATAAAAAATATTATAATCATGATGATAATAATAATTATACTAATAATATTATAACTAATATGATTATAAAAAATTATATTATCATTAATAGTTATTATTATAATAATGATTATTATTATGGTTGCAAATTTATGATTTTTATTATAATAATAACAATTTAATAAAAAATAATATTAATTATGATAATAAGAAAAGTATAATTATTAAACAATAAAAAAATTCAAAATCTAAAACTGTTTTTTAAATTTTGACTTTCGTTATTTTTTTTTTAGGTTGTATGTTGTAACACCTTAACTAAATCCGTAGTGATTTTTTAAAGTTACCGTAATTTTAATGCACTCCAACAATGCTCTTCCCACAAAATAATAAGAGAGATTTTTGTTTTATTATAGGAGAAATTTCTAAGATATACTTACTATATACAATTTTAAAATAATAATTATATTAATAATTTTTTTAGATATTAGAAAAATAATAAATAAGAGTTAAACAAAATATTTCTTTTACATATTTAGGACTGGACTGTAAATATTATAAATTTTACATATTATAAAAAAGATATTGATTTATAATAAATATTAGTATTCACATTGTCAATTGCAATTTTTAAAAAAATTATCTTCTTATATAAATTAATTATTCTTTCAATCCTAACCATAAGAAAAAATATTGAAAAAGTCAATATCATATTTTCGATGTTACTAGTAAAAATATAATTATACGTGCACTTATTCCTAATTTTTTAGAAAAAAAAACAATTAAGAAAAATTATGTTTAAAAAATAGTAAAAATAATAATACGATGTAAAGGGTGTGTAAGAGAAAAATGAGAGAGTATACCCATCAATTCTCTTTATTTTAAAAAACGACATTAAAAATCAATTATAGAAAAAATTATTTTAAAAAAATTAAAAAATATTTGTATTTGAAGGATAAAAAAATTAAAAAATATTATACACAACAAGTCAATGTCCTCTATTAATAAAATAAAATATTTAAAAAATAATTATATAAAAAGTAATATATATATATATATATATATATAGATAGATATATTATAAAAGACTTAAAAAAACCTAAAAATAGGAAAGAAAGTGTATATATAAAAAATAGTTGCACAAAAAAATCTCTTTTATTAATATCCAGGAGAAACACGGACAGAGGTTCATAATTTTATTATGATTTTTATTTTGATGAGTTAAAATTTAACGTATATATTAACTTTTGAATATAAATATTTATATACAAATATTAAAGATAAAATTTATGATTTTTTAAATTTTAAATATATCAAAATTAATAAATGTTATTTTTATTTTTATTAGTGATATTAACATTTTTATGAATAATATTTAAAATAATATTTTTTATCATCATAAAATTATTAAAATTATTTTTTAACTTAAGTAATAATTATTTATGTTTTTTAAATATTTTAAAAATATATATTTATCAAAAAATTTATTTTTTTTAAATAATTCACTTTAAAAATGATTAAATAATTAAATTAACATATTTATTTAATTATAAAACTATTCATATATTTTTTAATTATTTCTTATTAATAAAATGACTTTAAAATGAATACATTTAAATTAATATCTCGTTTTAAAGTTATATATAAAAGTATGTTTTTTATAATTTTTCTTTTTTTAGTTAATAAAATTATTATATATATTATAAACATAAAAAATTATCATCATTTATTTTGTACATTCCGAATTTAAAATATTCTCCCAAATCAATATATTCTCCTAAATCAATATACTTTTAATAAGTATTAATAAAGTAATATATTATTTAATGGTTAATACTTAAATAAATATAGTTTTTTATTACCTAATTTTTAAACAAAAGATTATAAATTATACTATTTAAGCATTTAAGTGTCTTCACATAGAACATTCATATATTTTTTAATAATCATAATTCATCTCATTGTTCATATAATTTACTTGTTCGTAATTAAAGATAACTAATACGAACTATCAATTTAGTTATTTGTCAATTTATTTCTAATTTTTTTTATAAGAACATATTTAATTTAAAATATTTTTATAAATAATTTTTTTTTCACAATTTTTACTTATATATAAGAACATCTTCGGTGAGAGTTGCTTATTGATTAAAGTATTTCCAAAATAAAGTTATCATTAAAAATGATTTAATAATAAAAGTAAATATTTTATTATGGATCGTTTGAGTTGGTTAAAAATAAAGAAGGTTATTTAAAATTTGATGTATAAATAATTTTGATTTAAAAGTAGATAAAATTATTTAAGATGAGAAGAAAGTTACTTATATAAATAATTTTGACCAAGTTTTAAACAATTAAACTATCATATAATAATAAAATATTTAATTTCATTTTTTTATATGCTTTTAGTTGCTTTTTATCTTGAAAAATATAAAATAATTATTTATCATGTTACATTATTTTAAAGCAACTCAGGGTTGATTTAACTCTATTAGAAGTAATAAATTTTAAAAAAATAATTATTTCTCTTGTTCTCTCTTCATTTATTTTGATTTATTTATTTTAAAAAAGTTGTTTGATGAAACAATTATAAACAAAATTCCCACAAAAATGCTAAAAATTTCAATTGGAAAAATCCTACTTACCATGATAATTGTTTAATTTTTTTATAGTTATTTTATTAAACAACTTAAAAAATAAGCAAATCAAAATAAATGATGAAAAATAGATTATTTTTTAAAAATGTTCTAATAGCGCAACATTGAGTTATTTAAACATGATATGATATCATAAATGTTTCTTTTAAATTTAATTACTTTTATCAAAGATGTCCTTAAATAAAAATAAATACTTTATATTTTATTATTTATCCACGTTTCATTTTCCAATTTCCTTCAACCATTCATAATATAAAATTTTCTTTATTTCTTTATAATTGTCCATCTTTAAAAAATGTTTATAAATATATATTATAAATTAAATACTACATTAATTACTTTAATTATATTCTTACATTTTTAATAATATTTATTATGTAGAGAAAATGCTAAATCAAAGAGTAATTTTAGATAAATAGAAGATGAAAATAATAAAGATATTATTACAAAAATTAACAATTTTATTAAAAATAATTATAAAAATATTTTATATAACCTAACTTTAACTGAAAAGTATTTTTAAAGAATATATCAAATAATACATTAATTATATCTATTGCAGAATAACATCAAATAGTTACATTTATTAAATATAATTAATATAAATCAATGTTATATTAATTTAACAATAAATAGTACGCGTTTCCTTAATTTGCCATTAAATGAGATGCATAATTATTAAACTGGTTTATTAAACAGATAACTTTCAATTTGTATATACTATTAATTAATAATCTATAACATACAATAACTTTACATATTACATTCATTACATATAATACATAATTGATGTAACAATCTACTTGAAATTTATTTTAATTTATTAAATAATACGGGTTTCCTTTGTTATTTTTTAAGAGAAAATAGACATTAAACTTGTTTATTAAAAACATAACTTGTTTGTATTGACAAAATTTATTGTAATAGTTTATCTTTTACACAAATTTTTTGCAATACGTTGTAACTATTATGGATATATTTTTATAATTCTTTTATTAAAGTGACAATGTATGACATACTATTGTTAAATGAAAGTATTTTGCACAATTAGTATATTTTGATTTTAATTAAATTCAAAATTATTTTAGTAAAGGAATAAACAATTCTCCAAAGAAAGTCCCTAGTCTACCCTCACCTAGTAAGGACAAAATTCACCTAATTTTTCACTTTCAATAAATATGAGAAATTATAGGAAGAGGTCCACGATAGCATATTGATGAATGGGTTGTTTTTTTTTATTTAATGAGATTTGTTGATGAAATCGGCAGGGAGGGTAAATATCGAAAGAGACAAACGCTGAGTACAGAAAGTAGAAGAAAGAAACTGAGTCAGACGAGTGAACGAGACTGTGGAAGTATGAAGATGATGAGAGAAGATTGAGAGAAGCGTGAATTCACGTGAGAGGAGAGGGGTGTGAATGAAAGAACATTGAACATTAAGAATCGAAATCGGATAGGGTAAGAGAAGAAGCGGAGATAGGAGTGTGCGCGTCGAAACCGAAGGGGCTTCGAAGGGGCTCTTCGTCGGAGGCGGTGGTGTATTCCCCTCCGGATTCCCCCACTATGAAGAGCCTCTTCAAGTCCAAGCCCCGCACTCCTTCCGACATCGTTCGCCAAACGCGAGATCTTCTCCGCCTCACCAACCGCGATGACGACAAGGTATGTTAAACCCTCCCTCGCTTCGGACCTCTCATTCTCTCGCTTGTATCGTTTTCATTTTATTTATTTATTTATTTAATTTTATTTTCTGCAGATGGCCGACCTCAGCAAAAACCTCCGGGAGATGAAGTCAATCCTCTATGGAAACAGCGAATCCGAACCGGTCCCCGAGGCTTGTGCGCAGCTGACTCAGGAATTCTTCAAGGAAAACACCTTGCGCCTCCTTATCCAATGTCTTCCCAAATTGAACTTGGAGGTAATTGCTTAATACAGGCATACCGATATATATATATATATATATATATATATATATATATATATATATATATATATATATATGTATATATATATATATATATACACATATATGTATATATATATATTTGAATTGTTTCGGTGATTTTTGTTTTTTGATGATGGGACTTTTTCAGGCCAGGAAGGATGCTACTCAAATTGTTGCGAATTTACAGAGGCAGCAGGTTCAGTCTAAGCTCATCGCGTCTGATTACTTGGAGACAAATATGGATCTCATGGATGTATTGATATCTGGGTAAGCTGCAACCGTTGGACCAGCATTTTTTGTTTTCTTAATGTTATTTTTTGATCAAGCAGACTTTCCAATCTGTAGGTAGACTCGCCATTTTGATAAAATCTAAATTTAGTTCTGTGATGCCTGTTGATTTTAGTCAATCGCTCTTGATTGCTACATTCTGTCTATCTTTTTAGGTGAAAGTCTGTCCTGTTGTAGTCATATCTTACCATGATAATGTGACTTCTGTTTCTTGTTGTGCTCTTTGTAAAGGTATTCTCTACCTCGTGTTGATTATTTTATGGTATTATTGACAAAATGTTGCTGATTTTTGTAGCTATGAAAACATGGACATGGCTTTACACTACGGTGCGATGTTGAGAGAGTGCATAAGACATCAAATTGTTGCAAGGTAAGGGTGAATGAAGGAGCAAATAGATTCAATGTTGTGTGTGTATGTGTGTTTTTTTTTTTAGGTGATTTCAAATCTAATTCACTGGTGGAAACACAATCATTTTCTCCATGGTTTATGGTCTTGTTAGAATAGTTTTATGGTGGTGCAATTGTTTCCAATACTTCCATACATTTGTCCCATTAGAGACATATGTTATTTGCTACATGAAAAGAGTACTGCATAGGTGGCTCATATAGAAGCTGAAGCATAAATTGATGAAGAAAAAAAAAAAAAAAAGCCTAGGTTTTAAATTTCTGTCCAGTATGACTTTTATGAGTTGTGACCTCTGATGCTGTAATTCCTTGGCTTTATTTCAGATATGTTCTGAACTCATCTCATATGAAGAAGTTTTTTGACTACATTCAACTTCCAAATTTTGACATAGCTGCAGATGCCGCAGCTACTTTTAAGGTATTTCTTTCGTTTTTGGTATCATGCCCATTATTTAGAAAAAATTGGATTTTATATCATTTCATATTGTTGCAGGAGCTATTGACGAGACATAAATCTACTGTAGCTGAATTCCTTTCCAAGAATTATGAATGGGTAGGTTCCCCTTAAGTAGAAAATAAATGTATTTTTTAATTTACAAACCTGTCTATATTTCACTTTTTGTCATATTCTTTCTGGTGGCCGGTGGTATGATTGATCTGCGAAGGTTTTCATGGTAATAGTATGTAGCTTTGTGCTAATAGATCACATTTAGATTCTGATTTTAGTTCTTTGGTAACTATTTGATTGATATTATTCTCAATTGGATTTTGAAAAATAAATGATTATTTCTTCAAATTTAAGTTGTTGGAAAAATGCTACCAGAAAAAATAATTCTGAAGATATTGTGTAATAAAACTTATTTCCGGGATAAGGTAGATGGCCACATTCTCTATTTAGTACAGCTGTGAATACATAACCACATTTATTTATGATTATTAACCACATAAGTGTGTTTACTCACCCTGTTCTTGGAATCTAGTTTAAAACCATACTTTTTACGGTTTATTTTGGGAGGGGGGGAGATCATTCTGTTAGTTGCGTATGTTTATTAGTAAACCTATTGTTTTATCTTGACATGTTTTATTTTGTATTGGCCTTATCTGGTAAATACATAACCACATTTTTTTTATGATTATTAACCACACAAATGTGTTTACTCATCCTGTTATTCAAATCTGGTTTAACGCCACACTTTTAAAAGTTTGTTTTGGGAGGGGGCAATACTTTCTATGTTAGTTATAGTTACCATCCTTTACTCATTGTCTTTGTGGTTAATTACAGTTTTTTGCTGAATATAACTCTAAGCTGTTGGAATCTTCCAATTATATTACAAGGCGTCAAGCTGTCAAGGTATGATTTAAGTTTTGTTATCTATCTCAACTGTAACTTGACGATGCAAGAATGAGAAGTCTGGCATTCATAGATTATCCTCTTGAAAATATTTTCATAAATCTTTGCTTGTTTGTTTATAGTATTATTTGACTAATAATTGTGAAAAAATAAACAAGCTTTCTCATGCAGTCAACAAATTACCTTTCTTTTGCAATGATTATCTTGTCTAGTTTTTTACCCTGTTGATGTCTAGGATGATTAGTTTTGCTATTATATGTCATCGCACTATTATTGCTACTTTTATTATTGTTCTATAGTTGAATCAATGCATGTATATTTGTTGAGTTTTTTTTTATCTCTTTTCAGTTGCTGGGAGATATGTTACTTGATCGCTCAAATTCAGCAGTAATGACACAATATGTCAGCTCACGAGACAACTTAAGGATTTTAATGAATCTTCTACGAGTATGGTCCTTTCTGTAAAACTTCATTCACCTGCCTTTCTTGTGTCCCCCCCCCCTCCCCCTAAAAATTACAAAGGGAAAAAATATTATCACATGATAATGTTGAGTTGCTGTTTTGTGTCAAAAATGCATTAATTTTATTAAAATACTTACATTACTTGTTACTGTTCCACCTGTCTAAGTGTAAGGAACTGCTAAACACGGATACGTTCAATGTTGAGTTTCTGATGAGCATAGATTTTAATGTTAAAACAGAAAATTCAGAATTTTAGTTATGTTTGTATAAGCATTTTATGGGCCATTGCTGATATTTTTATGCAGGAGTCAAGCAAGAGCATACAGATAGAAGCATTTCATGTTTTCAAGGTATTATAGTTAACTAACTATATTGGCCCACATTTTGAAATTTTTTTCTTAACTTTATACATCCATCTTACATTTTGCTTCTCTGTATTGATTTGCTCTTGTTGAGCAGCTGTTTGCTGCTAACCAAAAGAAACCTGCTGATATCATCAGCATACTTGTTGCAAACAGAAGCAAGCTTCTTAGACTTTTGGGTGACTTAAAAATCGATAAAGGTAAGGAGGTGATGCTATTTCTTAAGAATTGGTACTTGCTTTCTTTTGGTATTGTGTTCCCATGATCTCACATTTATTGGGATTGTGTAGAGGATGAACAGTTTGAAGCTGACAAAGCTCAAGTTATTAGAGAAATAGCTGCTCTTGAACCTAGAGATCTTGCTTGAGCTTCAGATTGCGTCAGGTAGCAAGTCGCATTCCGACATTTTACTTTGTTTAATTGTCTATTTTTAAAGTTCTTTTGGTCCTCATCAAGATGAGAGTAGCATTCAACAGAATTACAGTGTTTCCATTGTGAAATTTCATTTCGTTTCTGTAATTCCTAGATAAATAATAAATTACTGAAATGAGCTACATCGGTAGCAGTATATGGCCTTCTGATGTTAGAATGGTTTGGCTATCATCTGGTTTATAAATTGTGCCTAGGGCATTTGATATTCTTACTCTAGAATTTGTATGACATTTATTATATTACTTTTTCATGATGGCCTTCTGTTTCCTGTGTTGCTGTACAGTTTAACGTGTGTATGTGGGGGTGGGGGAATGGATCCCCCTATGTTAAGAAAAACGCGGTATTTTTTACTTTCCCTTTATATAGAAAATACATTTCATCAACAAGTTATATCTAAGGGTAGGATTTCTTCTGGTGAAAAAGTCATTAGATAAGGAGTAATGATATTTTGACACCCTTCAATCCAAACAACCCCTCCTACAATTCCTTTTTATTGATATAATAATGGTAAAAATATTTAATAAAAAAATTAAAATTATTATTATAATATTAAAAGTGGTTTATTTGTGAAAGTTGTATGGATTTGGATTGTCAATTTTTTTATTTTTTAATTTTTTTTGGGATTAGAATCTCACCCCTAGCTGTGGAGCTTTTTATACTTAGTAATTTGAATCATATACAATGAAGGGTCAAACTTAAAAGTTTTTTTACAGTCATAGAATCAGTTAAGATATGTAACTTCTAAAACTAACATGGTTGTTAAAAAAACATGATGAACCGTTCAAGTGTTTGGCCTAGAAAAAAATTGGTAAAAAAATTGAAAAACTTTCAAAAACTGACCAAATATAGGTTTATTGGGGTCAATGAAAAATACAATATTATATTTTAAATAGGAATGTTTTTTTCTTAAGGAATATTGTTTGTGTATTGTTGAAACTCAGACTTCAATATTACGTATCTACTCTTTTATTTGTTAGTTTTACACAAGTTATGATATGTTTATAATGTTATGCTATGTATTTTATTATTATTATTATTGTGGGTTAGAGTAAGATTGAATTATTGAATCTCGAAAGATTTCTTGACTAGCTATTTGGTTTTAAAAGCATAATTTATCTTTCATGATAAAATCTATTGGTTAAATTATTTTCACAAGACTCCCTAAATTAAACTATTTTCTTATAAAGTTCAATAGTTACTATAATTGTCAATATAAAATGTTCATATTTTAATTAATTAGAATTAATTATTGATATAAAGTTTTAAATAATTACTGTAAAAAAGCTAAATATATTACTAATAATGATTTATAATTAAATGATATCAATTTTCTATTCTTTATATCTTACCTGACATTAGAGAGTTTTTTTTTTACACATTATTATTTGTGAATATGAAATTCCTGACTAAGGGTCCCATAAATGGATTTTTTGTTCCATTCAGTTGAAAACAGTGGGTTCTGGACTTTCGGTCCGACCATTTGGATTGAGACAAGATAAAAAGCGGCAATTTCAATTTTTGTCTTTTAACTGTTTTAAAAAAGTTAGAATATCCTTCAGCATATTCTTTTCACCCAATTTTAACTTTTTTCTTGTTTGGTAGTAGAGAATAAATAACGAAAAAAATAAAATAAAGTGGCTTGATTTTATTTTATTTTATTTATTGTAAGAGAACAAGAAATATTCACATTTCACTCTGTTTATTTGATTCTCAACAAAAGAGAAATGGTAAAAAATATATTTTAAATATAAATATGCTTTTCAATCTCAAAAATAATATATTTAAAATTAAAAATTACTTACATAGAATTTCTATAAGATTATTTTTATAATTATTATAAAAAAATATAATATTGAAAAATAATTTTTTTTATACAACATAATTATTTTTTTATTTTTTTCTTAATTTGTTTTCTATTTTTTTCATTTATTTTTGTTATTATTTTTTCTTTATCCGGACTTGTTTTCCTTTTTTTTTCTCTTCTTTGTTCTTCTATCACTCATCTTATTCTTTTATTTAAAAATGCTAAATTAAAATATTATAAAATAGGTCTTTTATTATTTCTAAAAAATAAAAATACTTAAATTATTAAAAAAATATTATAATTTAATATATTATATTTTTAAAAATTATATTATAGATTTGAAATATTACAAATTATTATGGTATAATTATTAAGGTAAAAATTAATTTTATTCTAAAATTAATTTTTTACAATATTTGTTTTTTAAATTATTCAATATGATTAATCATCCTACTTCAATCTAATTATAATTAAATTAAATTAATAAATAAAAAATATATATGATATCTTTTAATATTTTAAATAATTAATTAATATTTTTTAGTTTTAATATTAATTTTAAAAATTTATATTAATATAATTCTATTAAATTTCGATATAGTAAATTTTAATTAAAAGAATATGTGAGAAAGGAAAGATAAAATAAATCAGTCTAGATAAATAAATTAATAAATATTTTAACTAAATATTTATTTAAAATATATTATTTTCATGATTGATTTCTTATAATATATTAATGAAGGGTTGTTTTAATTTAAATTTGTTTCATTTTATTATATCTTTTAGTCTAATTTTTTCATAAATCTTGTATTTTTTTTATTATAATATTTGATGTTTTGAAAATGATGAGTGCTTTTAAGAAATGTTTATTTTTACATAATTATTTTATAACATTTAAGAGACTGTTAAATATATATTTAAAATATATGAATAAAAATTCTTTGTTTTTAAAGTATTTTATTCTTTATTTATTAAAATTTTAAAATTTTTAGTAATTTTTTTTCATCAAATATTAATTTTTTTCCCTTTGAATTTATTGTATGATGGGAAATACGAGTTTGAATAAGTTGTGTGTATGTATTTCATAACTCATTTTGGGAAGTTTATGATGAGATATTTACTAAATCAAATAGAAAAATGTATCATATAAATAAAATTTTATATCACTTTACATTACATGAATTAAGTCACTAAAACTAGAAAAACAGTGATAAAAACTATTGTAATATTTATATTTCACTAAATGTATTTACATATATTTATGTGATTTTATGTTTGTTTAAAAAATTATAATACTTTTTATTTTGATAAGTAAATAAATATTATTTCAAGCACAAAGAGAATTAACAGAGACATATATAAGAATCTAAGAATGTTTTAAAAGAATATACAATTGCTTACTATCGAATCCAAGGAAAGGAATAGAGGAAATGGCATTCTTCTGGCTTTTGCAAAACAATATAATAAAATACGGAATTCATTCTTCGTTTGTGGATGAGAGACACTGGGTGAGGAAGCTTCGTCAGAAAAACAAGGGATCCATGCTTACCATCTTTTCTACAAATAAAGTTAATTTTCGATTATATAAAAATGAACTCGTGAAACAATTTAAGGGCAAATTTGGGTTTGTATAAGTGAAGTAAAGTTCCAGGAGAGGAGAAAAAAAAAGGGAAATGAAACTGAGCCTGTTATATTAGTTGGCTTCTGATTGTGTGTGCGCTTCTACTTCTCACTCTGATTTGCCAAGGAAAATATGGGTGATAATGGTACGATTAGGATCAGATAATTTTGATTATGCGAATTTAAATTGTATCGTAATCTTCTGATTTTCGTTGCAAACACAGATTCGCTCTCCCAATTCCTCGCATCTGCGGTCGACGCTGCTCACAAGGCTGGTGAGGTCGTTCCCCTCTCTCTCTCTCTGGTTATGTCTCTTTAGTTTCATATTTTTTGAATGTCAAATACAATTTTTACTGTAGATTATCCGGAAAGGTTTCTATCAGACCAAAAATGTGCAGCACAAAGGACAGGTTTCTGGCTTGCCTGAAATTTCCACTGTGAGTAGACGATCGTTGGTACATTAATAACTCTCTTTACTTTTATTGGGATGCATTGCACAGGTTGATTTGGTCACTGAAACTGATAAAGCATGTGAAGATCTCATATTTAATCATCTCAAGCAACTTTACCCCTCTCACAAGGTTCATTCATCTCTCCCTCAACTTTACACATAATCAAATTTGATTGTTCTTAACATCATTTTAAGTTGGTTTTCTTTTTAGTTCATTGGGGAAGAAACCACAGCTGCTGGTGGCAATGCAGAACTGACTGATGAACCCACATGGATCGTTGATCCTCTCGATGGAACTACTAATTTTGTTCATGGGTAAATATTGGTCTGATGTTTTAATTGATACATTCGCTTTTACATATCGACTGATTATAGTTTTGCTTTTTTAGGTTCCCTTTTGTTTGTGTATCCATCGGTCTCACAATTGGAAAAATTCCTACAGTTGGTGTTGTTTACAATCCTATAATTAATGAGGTGAGAACTTTTCCTTGGCACCACTGGCTGACGGCAACACCATTCAAAATTTCCTGACGTTTGAAGCATATGTATTATTCCATGATAAATGGTATTGTAAGTAGATGAATACTATATTTTATTGAATTTTCACATATCATGTGGAATTTTTGTATCTTTCTCTTCTTAAAGATTACACAGGTAGAATCATTTTAAATTTTATGTACACTTAAGAAGGGCGAGATAGACATAAATTTTTCAAATAATATAATCATGTGAAGATTCAACATGTATTTTGCAAATGCAGGTTGTTGGGCAAAACAGTTCAATCAATTTGTCCTCTTTTATCGACAATATTTTCAGCGACCTTAACGTATTTGTAATGGTTTGTTGAGGACTATTGACATTGAAGTAATTGATTTAGGACTATGACAACCTATAACTTATTTTATAGTTGTAATATTGATATTGGTATGGAGAGGTTAATGTTTTGATTTGTTTTCGTCCCTTGCTTAGTTTGAAAACTGACGTTTTACAATGTCGTGTGTAGCTTTTCACTGCAATCCGTGGAAAAGGTGCTTTTCTGAACGGGAACCCTATAAAAGGTGGATCTTCTGTTCTCTCTCTTTTGATTGTTATTGTCAATTGACTACGGTTATCTCATGAATATTGCCTTGAATTTTCCAGTATCATCACAAACTGAACTAATGAGCGCTCTTCTCGCAACAGAGGTATTTCAAGTTTGTTTGAGCTGATTATGTCAAAGTTGTTCATTTATCGTTTTTCTTTGGATCAATTGTTTGTACTCTATTCCACTCGCTACGCTACCCTTATTGAGCATCAGTGAAACATTAAGTAGGGATAATTATTTGCTCCAGCGTATCAATGACAATTAGCCCTGCAATTCTTTTGGTTAATGAAAAACAACTGCAGACTGACTTATGTCTGTGATTTGGTCTAAACACCACGGGAGCATGTATGTGTGTGTTGTTTGTGCACCATGACTTGTCGAACTTTTTCCACACGTTTGTATTTTCTTGTCAGTGGAGCATCTACTTCATGAGCTGTATTAGAAGATCCATACAAAACGTGATACTCTCCTTTTATTTTCCAAATATAATCATCGAGTATAACTTGACATTCATAAACGGTTTTGTTGTTTCTTCTTTTATTTCAAATTCCAAATACCATAATGAAATAGCAACCCTTTATGAGGAGTTCCTTATTAAAAATATAATTAGTACACTAATAAAATTTTCCTGACAGAGATTCTCAAATCCTCTATATTTGTAACCTGACCATTTTGGATTTATAAATTTTGTATGCTCCTCAGTATTTATATGCATGCTCTGGTCATACTTGTTTTGCTACTTGCCTCTCAAGTAATTCAATTCTAAACACATGCCCCTTATATACATTTCAAAGCCTCTCTATTCATGAGCTTGTGCGAACCTAGAAGGGACAAAATCTAAACATTTCCTTTTATTCAGGTGATCAATGTAACATGATGAAGAAAATATAAGAAAGTAACATAGGAATTAAAAGTTTGTATTCTGGGAGATACATTATATCTTAATTGCAAATATGATCATTTAGCAGATTCTGATGTCAATGTCATTGCTAAGTTTGATTTAAATTATATCCCAGGTAGTTTGCATGATGTCTTAAATTATTGCCACCTATTGTGTAAAAAAAGTTTTATTCCCAGTGATTTGTGTCCTTTGTCCCTGCACCTTTTTATTTAATTGCATGCAATTCCAGCCCTCCAGATTGAAAGTTATCATATTTTTGGAATACTAACGTGAAATGGGATGATTCAAACTCGTCAATTCACATTCATATGTACTTGGGTCAGTTTCACTGTAAATGTTATGAATCAAAGATAGATTTGAAATTCATTAAGTTCTTTTTTATTTCTGAAAGTGCAGGTCGGAACAAAACGTGACAACTTAACTGTAGATGCCTGTACAAACAGGATTAATAGCTTGCTTTTCAAGGTAAAATGAGGTTTTCTTCCCATGGGAATCAATCGGACTAAAGTTTGATATGGTCTCGTGTTATAACCATGCCTTTATTCTGATTAGGTGAGATCACTTCGGATGACTGGCTCCTGTGCTTTAAATCTTTGCGGAATTGCATGTGGAAGGTTGGACGTCTGCTTTGAACTTGGCTTTGGAGGTCCTTGGTAGGAATTTGAACAACCCTCATAAACGGTGGACATGTTGATAATATGATATGTTCCTAGATTGACATAGTCTCTTCATTCTTATTAGGGATGTGGCAGGCGGTGCTGTCATTGTTAGAGAAGCCGGAGGTGTTATATTTGATCCGTAAGTGACTTTAATTGATGCGCTTCTTCTAATTAAATTGTGGTTTAAGGCTCTCTAAAAATCTTGAGTCAATGTGGGACATAGGTTCGTGGTGAGTGACCCTTTAAATAAATCTATGATAAGTTCTGTTACCGTTTAACAAAGTGGTTTAAGTCTAACTCAACTTTATGAAACTTTGAAAGGGGAGACTTTTCCACTTAAACTTTATTTTGACACTAATTCTAGTCAATGTGGAACACTATAGAGCTTGGTACGTGAATAACACAATGGTTGATCTTAGTGATGGATATAGGATAGACTCTACCACCATATTACCAAGTGATTTAGGCATAGTAGAAACCTTACAAAACTGAATTGTATAGTGATAAATGCCCTTACTTACATACTGTATTTTGATATATCTCTAGTCAGTGTGACTTAAATTTTTCTCCATATGTTATGCTGTTCTAGAGTGTTTGGAGTGTTAGGTAGGTAAGCTATTTTATTACTTGCATGGATCTTCGTCTTGTGGGCATTTATGTAATTATTTATAGTTGGATGGATGCACACACAAATTTGGATGTATATGCTTAAAAGATTTCATGTCATTATCTGATGGTTAAATTTGCTTCAGATCTGGAGCTGATTTTGACATCACATCACAGCGAGTGGCAGCTTCCAACCCTTTCTTGAAGGATGCCCTTGTAGATGTTGTGCGCCAAAACGTTTGAGTAACCTGCTATTAATCAATGACGAGGAGAAATTGAGTTAGCCTTAAGTTAATTCGTTCCCCTTTTGTTAAAATGCTTTGATATGTGGGATGCATGACCTCAATTATTTTCTAATCTCTCTTGTGGACCTAACCAAAATATCAGTTTATTCTCTAATTAAAAAATCTGAGAGAGTTCAACAATGCAACTTGCTTAAAAATAATTCCATTTCATTGCCTATGCTGATCACAAGAAACTTTCAACTTGACTATGCTCTGTTTTTTCTCATCGTAACTCATTTGAATTTCATTTTATTTAATTATGATGGCTGGGTCTTTTGGTAGTTGGTATGATAAAAATAATAATAATAATTGACAGAAATTTAAGAAAATTGCTAGCGGTAAGTTATCTACTATTATAAAGTAAGTTGGCATGCGTATCTGCTTTAGGTTGGACCGTGTTTGGTTTACAAGTTTATCATATATGAACAACCATGATTATATATAATATAAAATGATTGGTCTGGTACAGAGAAGAGACAAGTTTGAAGGGAATTGTGGAGAGAGAGAAGAATAGAGAATTATAAAAATGCAGACTCCATGGTGGATGGTGAGGGAAATGGGTCTGACCAAGCCTATTCTAATTGAGAACGGGTCAATGATTGTGCCAGTAAATGTACTATATTCGAGGAATCTGAGCTATATGCTTTAACGTTGAACTACTATTGACAACTATAATTAAAGCTTAAGCAATTTTTATTAAAATTGAATCAGATGAGTTGTCTTAATCAGATAGAGCTTTATATATTAAGATTCGGTCATTTCTTATTATTTTGTTGAGTTCAATTTCTGAATCTTTATCAATTTATTGGGTTTGAAGCAACCAAATTATCGCTTGAGTTCCTATGGTTTAATGCGAGACTTAAAGTGTGCTGTTTTATATATTAAAAGCTCATTTTCAAAATGTTTTTTCATATTTGTTAGATGTTTTTAACATTGATTCCCAATTATTATTGATTTATTTAGCTTTCATTTTTACAATATTTTCTACATTTCCATTCCGAAAAAGAGGGTTCTGAAAGTAATATTCTCGCGAAAATATGGGAAGAGGGCTGTCCGTAATATTTAAAAACTATTTTTAAGAATATTAAAAATAACCAAAGATATTGTTGAATATATCTAAGAATGACATTGTTTGTAATAACATTTTTGAAAATGTGGTTTCTCAAAAATATATTGTAATGTTTTGAAATAATCATTTTATTAGTCTTTAAAGCTAGAGTCCAAGTTACTTGGGAAAAAATTTAAATGACTAGTCTTCATAAGTACTCTAATAAGAAATTGACAGTGAAATATCCATCTTTTGCTTGGGCACAAGCCGAAGAAAGAGAGGTTGCTCCCGTGGAACGCAAAAGATATTTGAAACTCAAGATATGTAGAATGTGCAAGACATGTGTAAAAAATAATTAATCATAAATACAAATATGAAGTAACAGAAACCGATACAACGTATACCCTGCAGTAACAGTATAATATAGATAAAACAAGACCCTGAAAGGAAGTCACTTTCCTGTGAAAGAATTACCTCAAAACTGAGAGTCTAAGCTGGTGGAGTACTCCCCAAATACCCTCAACATTATACAAAGGAGTCCAACAACAAAATACACACCGAGAGAAGAAGTAGGAGCCATAAAATCACAAAAGAAACCAATGTCTATCTCTCTACATACACATCATATATATATCCTACGCCTGCTGTGGCCTAGAATCATACCCATTAACACCATTTGCTCCGTGCGCCAACTTGTCCTCTGAGTTCCTCCTCTTCAACACTATGATCCATGTGAAAGCTTCCAAAAACACAGCAATGCCACCCAATGCTCCAATGATACCAATGTACGCATGCTTCCAGCTATTGTAACGATTCCCTACGTAATTTTCCAAGGTCTCGAACCCTTTGAAAACGTTGGCGATACTTATGGATATGGTGGCGTATCCCACCAAGTAGTGGTAGGCATTCCAGTACACTCTGAGTTTATGGTCTTTGTTGGGCCTCAAGAACAGCGCAAACACCTGAATCCAATCATCGCATATATATAGCTTTCTGTCAGTATCATCACACTAGTATAGCATACCAAAAGAAAGTATGGTTTCATAACATGAAAACCTCGTACCTGAAGGGTTCCAAGGCAGACGAGGATAATACCAAGTGTTCTGTGAGTGTCATACTCAACACCCTTGGACTCACTGCCGAGTTTGAGACCGGTTCCGAATCCAGAAACACCAACTATGTAGGCAGAGACTTGGCAAGTGATGTGAAGATAAAACCAAGCAGGATCTGCAGATTTAAACACCTTCAAGTACCTTGCGATTATGGCACCCGTTGGCATCAATATGCCCCAGCTCACCGCATTTAGCACTCCATGGGTCTGAAATTCATAATCTCCACACTCAATCCATCTCTCCAATCTCTACTTAAATTCCAAAATACAATACTATAGGAACCTATTTGATCTCATTTTTTTGTTTTGGAAAACTGTTTTCTAAATTTCTTATCCAAAATCTATTATGATTTGAAAATTGTTAAAAAAAAAAAAAAAAAAAAAACAATTGAGAGACGTTTCATCATCCTTTCGTTTTCTTCAACTGTTGTGTTCAAATGCTAAAAAACAAATTTTCAGAAAACAGAATCGACACACTCACTAGACAAACACTTTCAAATATACCCACTACACAAATAAACTTAGAAAACAGAAAATTGGACCTGAAAGCATATTTTTCAAAGATGAACACTAAGGGTCGAAAACATTAAGCAAAGAGAGACAATTTTTGACGTTGAAGAAAAGCAGAAGAAAAAAGATTGGTGCTTTGGCGCTTACGTTTCTTCTTCTTTGGCGTGAATTCCCAGCTGTCTGAGTGGAACCGGAAAGGAGATTCAACGTTTCCTTGGAGTTCTGGTGGGAAGTCTCGTGGCTGTGCTCTTGAGGGGTAGTGCCAGAGAGAGGCCCATCTTGCCAAACGTGGACCAAGGAGGTGGTGCCGTTGGGAAGTGTGAGAGTGGCGAAAATGGTGACCTCGTTGTTCTCGTACGTGGCACTGAACCCCGACACCGGATAACTGATGTCCCCCTGTTCCAACTGTGTGCTGGTGCTCGCTATGGATGAGGTATAGGCCCTTGGGCTTCCATTCGACTGAGGAATAGCCACCAGGGCCTGGGCCCCAATCATGGCTGGATCCAGAGTGTTCTTGGGATTGATGGCCCACGCCACCCACCTGTTAGTTGAGGTGATTCCAGCGTGTTTGAATGCTATCTCCAACTTCCCACTCGCCTGGTCGTATGTCCAGTGCAGGTAAGATGTCAACTGTGGAAGATCACGACATGTAGCAAACACCCTGTTGGAGAATGTTTGGCTTCTACACGTTTGAGCCGAGGATGTCACAACCACGCTGCTCAAAACACACAAGGCCAACACTAGCCTCAACATGTTGGCCATGAACATGTCTGGTCCTGAACTGTAATCTCTCTTAATTGGTGGCAATTGGTAAATGATTTGACAAGTCGAGAATGTGTATTGGGTTGGTAGAAGACAAATTTGGTCCCAAATGGGTTTCGAGAATTGGAAAGAAAAATTGTTTCTTGTGATGCAAACAATAGCTTTCAGCTAGAGCAGGTAGCAGAGAGAAGACAATGAGATTGAGAAAGATGGAGAAGGAGGGGTTAGTTTATTTATAAGATAAGAGTTGGTGGGTTTTGTTGAGTTGTTGAATGTGAAAGAATATACAACGGAGACGGACGGAAGGTAGAAATTAAAAAGATGTTGCAATTTCATTTTTATAATCTTCAAGTTATTGACAAGTTAAACACTAGATAAATAAATTATGAAATCTCCCTTCCACACCAATCATAAGAATTAACTATCCCTGCTCCTCGTTGAGAAGCTTCCTTTCCGTGTAAAGGTTTAGGTAGTTTGATTTTTTCAACGAAGAATGTTTCATCTGGTTGACAAAACAAGGTTTATCTATGCATGTTTATGGAGCCTTCCGAATATATTTGTTGGCACTTCGTCCTTACGCCATTTGAATCTTTTCCCTGAATCGTTTTAGGTTACAAGAAGATTGTTCATTCTTCACTGTAATGTAACACATTTTTAACTCTGCAACACACTTCGTCTAATCTTCTCTAACGATGGATTTGGGGAAAGTAAATGTTGATGGAACTCATACATCAATTTAACATGCTCGATTTTGATGCGTTATTCATCATGAGTGGAGCCTGCATGCAGAAGTGGACCAGCGTTTTCAGCCAAACGTGCGAGAGTAGGTGCTCGACGTGACTCCTTGTAATTATAACCTCAAGAATCAAGATAAACACGAATTGATTATTTACCTTTACTTTTATTTCATTTCATTTTAGAAATGTTTAAAAATCAAAATAATAAATTAAAACTCACTAATAATATAAAAGATCCTGCATCAAGTCATTGACTATATACAAAATAAAGTTTAAATGATTGGTCGTGTAGGAATCTGTTCATAAAAAAATATTCTACGTTTAACTCATGAAAAGAATAAACAGACTGTTTTATTAATTATTAGTACGTGCCTAATACACATGTAAAAAAACGAGTACAAAATAAATTTTTATTTAAATAATTGAAATTTGTGGTATTTTTTTTTCAAATGATATAATAACGATGATAATGATAAATTGAAACAAATACGCAGTTAATAAAACTACTTGAATTAAAATAAAAATGGGAGTAGTTTGGATTAAATGGTTCAAAGTGAAAAAAAAAAAGAGTTTTTTAAGAAGAAGAAAAAAAAGTTCAATTTATATATATTATTTTTATTCTCTTTGTTACATAATATTATTTTAAATTTAAATAACTCAATTTGAATAGTCCTGATTTCTCATTTTTAATAGATTAAATGGCTTATTTGACAAGTTTAACAATATTTTTTTCATTTGTATAATCAATAATGGATTACATTTCCTTAAATATGATTTTAAGTATAAATAATTGGTAATTTTTCATTAAAAAACCTAAAGAGAAAGTCAAATACAAATGATGGACAAATTGGTCTTTCCATCGTTCTAAAATTGGTTTCATCATTCCAAAACAACTTTAATTAACTCAATCAAATCTAAACTTCAGCTCTAATTGTATCAAACATCTCCTGAACCAAATAATGCGTAAATCATAAGTGTGAAATGGTAGTGCAGTTAATCATTTGGGTTTAAAATCAGTGTTCCGATATATGAGTATTTTGTTTGAAAAGTAGGTTTTCACTAGCTTATGCTTCAGTTTCAAGCCTCAGTTAAAGTAATTAGCTTTCATTTCTTTCAAATGAACAAAAGCACAATAAAAGTGAAGTGGTCCTTAGCAAAAGCAAATTCTTAAGAATGAGTCAGAGAAGCAATAGAAATTGACCCATTATTATTACATGGTTTTAAAAAAAATAGTAATTCTGAATTTGGTATTTATCATTATCCAATGCGTGCCATCCCCTACCAAAACTCCAACCACTTTTTGAGTCAAACTGGTTCATCTTTTCCTTCTCGGTACACGCTTTGCCACTTCTCTTTACGATGTCCTTCTGCTAATATTCTCCATCTCTCCGTGTATAATATTTCACACGTGAACTTAAATAATGAAATATATTTTAATAAACATGATGAACAACCGTATAATACATTAGTCATAAAATAATTTTTTTTTTCTTCTCATTTCTATCCTAAGAAGACGAATTATATTTATATCACGTGGAACTAAAAATGGCTCCTCATTATTTGTTTTTAAATATAGTTATTACGAGGATTTCGAACACGTATAATGATAAATGTTTTTCGTAAATTAATTGAAAATATATTATAAGAAATGTAAAAACGTTTGATATTTGGTAAAATAAAGATAATGATGGCGAACGGGTAAATCCATGTCATTTTAGTAGGTTTGGTATTTGCAAAAAATATTAATAAATTTCCTATCAGTTAAGAATTGAATTTTAAATTAATTTATAAATATTTTTTTTAACTTGTAAAGTTCCTTTAAAAATACAACAATGCAAAATTGGATTTAAATTTTAATGCGGATAATTTTTTTTAATAAGTAGTACAAGGAGAAAATGTTATTGATTTAAAAAGAGATGTGTGTAAAAGTTATTTATATTTGTGTGACTTTACTAAATTAAACATTTTTATTTAAATTTGGTTTAAAAGGCTGGTCTTTTAGATACACTGAATTTAGAATTATCTAACTATAAATAATATTAATTTGAAATTAGCTTTTAAAATTTTAATTTTTCAGATGTATGAAGATTATATACAATACTATATTTGGAATTCATAGTGATAATTTATTTTTTGATTTTTAAAAGTGTTTATTCTTTATTTTTGTGTAAGTTTATCTAAATTTAAAAATAACCAAATTATAAAAATTAGTTGAATATTTTATGTGAAAATATAATATGGTTAGTTAGATAACAAATAAATAAAAAAGGGCTCGTTTATTTTTTTATTTTTATTTTTCGTTTGACCTGCGAAGTTCAAGTCGGGTGGTCCGTTGCAAAGTATTGTATAGGGCCAAGGTAGCTAACATCATCATTCTATTTCTACGTACTATAGTTGTTGCACCAAATAGTATTTGAATAATCTCAGATTTCAAATTACTAAATTTCGAAATAATTATACAATTTTATTTTAACTGATATTCTCCAATCTGATGGTTTTTAAATATAAAAATAAAACAATACATTAATAATTCTAATATTTAAATATTTTATCAGAACTTGAATTAACAAGAGATAAGAAAGAAGAGACTTGTTCACTCTAAAGTTTGTAATGCGAACTGGACTTTGTGAGAAGAGGTCCAATAAACACAATCCAAAGCCACGAAAGATTTGAATACCTCTAACACTACGCATTCACACTTGAATAGTTTTACCATTTTGTTGCGTTAAAAATGGAATATATGCATAATTAATTAATAAACATTACTTATGCTAGACCATGTCAATATTATAGGACGCAGATTGTTTTGTCATTTTTGTTTTAATTATATGTCAGAGAGAAAGTTTCATAATAATACAATTTTATTCTTTCAGAGTGTTGATATTGTACACAAAAACGACAAAAAATTCAAAAAAGGCAATTGGATTTTAACTTCTTTCTTAGCCTTGCCATTTCAATAGTCTTCGTTAGAACACTGAACCAATCTCCTTTGCATTAATATATAAGAAAGTTGTATTATGGGGAGCTTAAATTGTGAAACAGTTATATTAAATTATTGTATGAAGACGGCTTCGACCCAAGCATATGATATTTAATTAGGCATGATTATACACATAATTAAGCACCTAGTTAAAAGACATTTTGGAAAGATTCATAAAATAAAAGTTTGGTTAAAACATTATAAATAACATAAATTTTAAGGTACCTACTATTTATAACATTTATTTATTGTATGCCTCATTTGTATTTTGTCTGTCTTTATTGTCTAAAAAGTTACCGCTTAACGAACTGAAAAATTGAAGAAGAATTTACACCGAAATAATCATATTTAGTGGAAAAAAAATAAGAATTTTCGATTTTATAAGAAAACTTATTAATTATTGTTTTTTTTTTGTTATTAAAAAATTATTTTAATCGATTCCAAAATAATGAAGTTAGAAGATGTATTATTCACTAAGCTGTATGAGAGAGGCTATAATCAATTTATGAAAAATATAATATTTACAACTTTTATATGAAATGGACACAGCCTTTCTTTCCTTGTCCTTTTTCTTTTTATTGTTTATCCCTTATACTTTTGTTAATTTTTGGTAAAATTCTACTTTTGTTAATATAAATCTATCGAGTTGAATTGATTTTTTTAAATTATATTTTTGATTAATTATTATAAATGAAAAAAATATAATTAAAAAACTATTATAAATATAAGTCAATGAAAATTTAATCAATATTTCATTCCAACAATAACAACAACAATAATAATAATAATAATAATAATAATAATAATAATTATTATTATTATTATTATTATTATAATTATTATTTAACTATTATTATAAGTATTTTTTATATTTTATTTTATTTCTCATATTTTTAAATGTACCTATTTTTTTATTAATTACATATAATTTTTTACATATTTATTATTCTTTAAATATTTAAATTATAATAATAATTTTTTAATTATAATATTTTAAATTTTCTCTTGTTGAAACTAAAAAAAGTTATCAAAAAATATTTAGTAATAATAAATCTATATCCACTATTTTATGAACCTCATATTCATAGAAGGGAAAAATTTGAGGAAAAAAGAAGAAGTTAAAAACACTTTCTTCTTGCTTGTCCGTAGTTTCTTTTCTCATCTCCGTAGTCATGTAAAATAATTAAAATATATTTTTAATCATTTCTTTTTTCAATCCCTAATTCCTTTTTCCATTTTTCTGTAAACGTTTTATATCTTCATTATTCAATTTCTATATATGGGTAGGTTTAGGTTTTTCTGCTGTCACTTTCGTATGGTTAAAGGTAAATTAAAGATAAATAATCGTTAATATTATATATATTTTTTTGAAATTATATATTAAGACTCATTGTTTGATTTAAAGGAGTTTTGTAAAAATAAAATTGAGTTATAAAATAAAAAATTTGGAATAAATTTTCGAATTAACTTTTAAAAACGTATTATAAAACATTTATTTTGAAAAAATCAATATAAAAATACATTTTAAATTAGATATTTCAAAATAAATTTTTAAAAAAGTCAGTTTGAAAATATATTTTAGAATTTTTTTTCTAGAAACATGTTCTAGAATATATTTTCAAAATTAATTTTTTGGAAATATATTTTAAATTTGTGGATCCCAAATTCTCTTCTATAATATGTAATCCAAAAGTTTATTTCAAAGTCACTGGTCTAAAATATATTTTCAAAAAATTAATTCTAAAAATGTATTCTAGAACTTATTATTTGGAGTATATTTTCTTAAGAATTTTTTTGGAATTTTATTCTAATCCTTAAGAGTAAAATAGGATTTAATTTAATTATGATGATAAAAAAAAAAATCTATGGAGGTGAATGAAGGAAAAGGTAAGTTCAAAAATGTTCTTTTGATAGGTCTAATGTCAACCAGGCCCAATTTGGAGCCGCACAAGCCCAGGACAATGCAAATGAGCTAACAATGTCTAAATAATTTCCAATCAAATATTTATTCACAGTTTACCAATGCAGTATTCTAGAATTTGTTTTGATCACAACATATTATTTTTTCATTTTTAATAACATGATAAATATAATTTAAAATTACGCGTAGGATAAATTACATATAATAGTTAGTGCACATACACACATTTTCTAACAAAGTAATTTGGATATAGTTTAAATATATATATATATATATATATATATATATATATATATATATATATATATATATTTTTTTTTTTTATGTTAAAATATAAGGTTGGCTTGGAGGAAGGTTGGATGGTTCAAATTTCTTGTTAACAAAAAAAAAAAACTAATAAACTAACAATTGACATTTGTTATATGAATAATTTAATAATTTTTTTATTGTTATTCAATTTTAACATAAATATTTGGAATAATATATATATAAATTTTTTTTCGTGTACACGATCCATTAGTATTCATATACCAGAACTTAGTCTAATCTGTTATTTCTATTATTACAGCATAACAGTTATTAGTAAGAAAAGTTAATTTTATATATCCAATGTAAAAAAAAAATTGAAGAAGAAGGAAGCATAAACAATTTTAAATTCCTATTCTCTTAACTAAAATATGAAATTTTGCAATTTTAAACAAAAAAAAATTGTATAAATATATAATATTTTAATTTCTTTTAAAACACTATATCTGAACAACAAATTTGACTATAAACCAATTTAAATTATTCTCTAAAAGTTATCCTCCAAGCATCATGTTTGTGCATAGTTTTGTTGTTTATCTTTTAATTTGTATCATTGATGGATGAATTTCGGCCTATTGTTTGTGCATACTCGATTTACAAATTGGAGGCAACCCATGATAGAATTAAAAATATTATTCTAGTGTTTGAATTAGGTTTTTGATTGACCTAAAATTGACTTGAGAGTTGAAGATAGTCCATAGGCACAAGTCTTTCTTAAACATGATTTGTTATTACGTATTGGGGTTAAATACTCTACCACAACTCTAAACTCAACCCATGTTATATAATATAGTGTGAACTGTGCAATGCACATCCAATTAACAACAGATATACCATACCCCATTTGTGAACAACAGCATCTTGCTCTTCCACACTCAATTTGCTCCAGATCTAATAATAATTTCATTTTCATCAATTGACATTTTTTTGTGTTCAAATTGAAATATAAAAAACACAAATAAGAGGGGAAGAGACAAGATATATGCAAGTTGGAACATACCCGATCCTTAAGACCCATATGTCATTGCTGTTAGGGTTGTGTACAACTCATAATGTTTTTGACTGCCATATAGTTATCAACATGATAATTAAATTATTGCGTGTTAGTCAACAAAAATGTCAATTCTATATGCATCTCTCTTACCCATTAAATTACCTTTATAAAAACTAAGACTTGGACTTTTTAAATATAGAGATTAAAATAAAAAATTACAAGATTAATTATTATTTTTGTCTAGAAAACTACACACCATTATATGAGTACTATTAATAATAAACAATAAATAATAAATACCAACCTCCACCAAACCCGACAGAGTAAAATCTGGTAGCTACAAGAGCACCAGCAGAAAGATCATATCCAATTTAATATTTCTGCATTCTTTTGTTGAGCACATTTAAAAACTTACGGCACTAAATACTATTCCATTAATGGTTAATGCAACACACATTTTTAATTAAATGAACTACATATGAAATTTATTTAATAAATTTATTTGACAAGTCAATTTCACCAAAAAAGAGTGAATAAAAACTCGCCATGCAGCTGTCATGCATATGCGAGAAAAAATAAATTGGTAGTAATTTGGTTTTCAATTTTACTACCTTGAAAAGTAATGCTACTATAAAACACAGTAACGAACTATAGAGTATTGTCCATTTTTTTAGTGAAAAAGGTAAAGCATAGCGGAAGTGTCATTTTCAACCTGTAAAATCAATAAATATGTTGACTTTTTTGCATAATGAACAAAGGTCATCCTGAAAACTGACCAAGTTTAAAATATCATTTTACATAAACTAGTATTAAAAGTTAGTAAAAATATATTACGAATAATATTTTTATAAAATTTTGTATTTAATTAAACAATACTAATATTTGGGTAGCATTTGTCGATAATAAATAAATGAGCGTGTGGATAGTGAGACCTGGAAACAGCAACACGTGGTTCTTACATGGTGGCAACACTTGTTGAATCCTCTGGTCACATCACACACACCAACACAAATCTGAACGGCGCTGTGATGATGGTAGCAAAAACCAACCCCAAACACGCACAGCGAAAACCAGCCTTTTAATTTAGTCATACATTAATTTTCAAATAAATAATTGCCTTCGCTGATATCATTAATGCAATCTTCCTTCTTCACCCTCACTCCACTCTTTCCTACTTTCCAAATGAAACAATATCAGTTGGAGTATTAAGAACAAGAGATTCATCAATTATCATTCTGCTAGCGACTATGGTTTCTGCGGAGAACGATTCGCATTCCACTACCACTGAAGCTACACATTCTCATTCCACGGTTTCCAACAAACCTCACCGAAACATCGGCAAGTCTATGCGGACCGTGCGTTCCAAATTATTCCCACGCGACCACGCCAGGTGCGTCTCCGATAGCCTAACCGATTCGCTCATGGAACTCGCTTCGCGAAACAACAAGTCCGTTAAATCTTCCGTTACGGAGGAGCAGCTTCTCGAGCTCTCGCAAGCTTTGAGCGATTTCTCGGCTTGCAGCAGCGATATCTCGGGAGAGCTCCAGAGGCTCGCCACGGTCACCTCCTCCGAACCTGCTGCTGACGTTGGCCGGGAGCCTGAAGCTGAGGTCGAGCCTTGCTTAGGGTTTCTCCAACGTGAGAGTTTCTCCACGGAGATCATCGAGAGTATCTCGCCGGAGGATCTTCAGCCGACGGTGAAGATCTGTGTCGACGGACTGCAGTCGACGTCGGTGGCGGTGAAGCGATCGGCGGCGGCAAAGCTGAGGCTGTTGGCGAAGAACAGAGCGGATAACCGTGCTCTGATCGGCGAGTCCGGTGCAGTGCCTGCGCTGGTTCCGCTACTCCGCTGCAGCGATCCGTGGACGCAGGAGCACGCAGTGACGGCGTTGCTGAATCTGTCTCTTCTGGAGGAGAACAAGGCGCTGATAACGAATGCCGGTGCGGTGAAGTCGCTGATTTACGTGCTTAAGACAGGTACGGAGACTTCGAAGCAGAACGCGGCTTGCGCGCTGATGAGTCTTGCGTTGGTGGAGGAGAACAAGAGCTCGATCGGTGCTTGCGGGGCGATACCGCCGCTGGTGTCGCTGCTGCTGAGTGGGTCCCACAGAGGGAAGAAGGACGCGCTGACGACGCTGTATAAGCTGTGTTCGGTGCGGCAGAACAAGGAGAGGGCGGTGAGCGCAGGGGCGGTGAGGCCGTTGGTGGAGCTGGTAGCGGAGGAGGGGAGCGGGATGGCGGACAAGGCGATGGTGGTGCTGAACAGTTTGGCGGGGATTGAGGAGGGGAAGGAGGCGATCGTAGAAGAAGGTGGAATTGCTGCGCTTGTGGAAGCGATTGAAGATGGGACGGTGAAGGGGAAGGAGTTTGCTGTTTTGACTCTTGTTCAGCTCTGTGCTCACAGTGGCAGGAACAGAGGATTGCTTGTGAGAGAAGGTGGCATTCCTCCACTCGTTGCTCTTTCTCAGAACGGCTCTGTTCGAGCTAAGCATAAGGTATGATTGTATGTTGCTTCCTATATCATTCTCCAATTTTTTTATTAGAGTATGATTGTTATTGGTTTTAGAACTCCAATTGACAAAGGCATTGGAGAAGAGTTGGTTTTACACAATTTGATAGCCATAAATGGTACTATTTCTATAGAAGAGTGTAAGTTATCAAGTATCAACTCTTGATTCCTTATGTTGGTAAAAGGAAAGGGGGAAAGAAAATAGAAGAGGGGAGGTGTCTGGAGTCATGACTTCCTTTGTTTGGCATCGTGCAAAGCTATAAAAAAACTGACGCTCCTCCTCTTCTGTTTGGTTTGATCAACCATTAAAGCGATGTTCAATGATTTTATCCCCTTTATCTAATAAAATATATTTATTTGAAATATTTATATAAGGGGTATGTAAGTTGGGGGCAAATGTAGGACTCACAGAAAGCATTTTATCAACTTCCATATATTGCCTATAAGGGAAGTGATGCAAAATATGTTCCTTCCACATAAAATGTTGAAATGTATTCTTCTAACTCTTTCTCTGGTTCTCCCTGACTTTAGATATGGGTACGAATACCATGTTGATTAGAGATACTACTAAATAGTACTATATAAGGGAGATGTAAACTTGATCTTAGAAACCGTTTTGCAGGGTTTAATTAGGTTCGTTTTCACTTTCATGTTAAAACATTGTTGTCCTCATCTGTATTTGTCGGAGACCATGATTTTGGTAAATTTATGTTTATAATCTATCTTACTTTATCCTGTCTTATATCTAGAGCTTAAATGTAAAATACATTTAGAATGTCGATCTTAAACAAATAAATTTTTTTAAAATTGATTTTTATCAAAATAGAAACCAGAAGAAAACCTCAACAAGCCTTCTTCCTCTGCTGTTTGCGCCCTCAGAGACTGTAATCTTTCTCGATTGATTACGTTTTTTAATTGAAATTTATTGTTGGTTTTGCAGGCTGAGACACTCCTTGGATATTTGAGAGAATCAAGAAATGAGGCGTCCTGTTCAAGTCCTTAGAGAAGTAATTTATACTTAGGAAGGTAATTATATAAGGCAACTGGTTGTTGTACATATAGTTTTACGTTTTGTTGGTTTGTAACTTTGTACAGTGGGGATCTTTTCAATTAGAAGCTAGCCAGCACAGCAGTAGGCTGACCCTTGGTTGATTTAAGCCAGGCTTGATGATTTTGCTTTCCCTTGTTCAATTTGTTATGTTTCCAGAGGTTGTCTTAGTTTCTTTGATTAGGCTTTTTTTCTTTAATTTTGGTTTTGTTTTGAAAACTTCCAGTTTTTGTAGAAATGGCTAGTTCAGTTTTTTGTGATTTTACCTCTCTCGTAGAGAAAATACTGGGGTTGTACTACGCCACCACTTGGAATGGGTAGTGTTCATAATTTTTTTATCGTGGTGAAAATGGGGTTTTAACTTGAAATTTGGTTAGTTTGATACTTTTAAGAGTATTGGACATGCCACAGACCATTAATTACCTTCGTCAGTTTCCACTGAATATCCTTTCGGATTCATTAGCACCTGTCAACCGGGATATAACTGTTAACCGAGTGACTTTCGCGTATTTCTGTGGCTTGAAATTCTTGATTTATTTCTTGCTTGCTTACCAGCAAATATGAAAAAAAGTATATTTTATCTTTTCTTTCCAAATTTGACATGTTATTGCGTGGATATTTTTTGCACGCTTACAGGGAAAATCCTTGGAAAGTACATGTTGAACCTTTTCTTTCGAAGACATGTTTATATTGGCTGGAACGCAAACACGATAAAAAATATATCCGTTCCTGCTAAGATATGCGCAGCAACCTGATGCGTATTGGTTATTAGTTTGGAAATGAAGCCGTCTGCAATTTTGGGAAACCAAAGACACTAATAGTTGAGTAGCATTTAGACTTCTGCGTAAGATCGTTTTTTTCTTGTTTCTGAAAGAAAATGAAAAAATTTCACTGGCCAATTTGTAAGATCCGTTTACCTTTCTTTTTGTTTTCCCAGTTGCTTAGTGGCTGTTTAGATTGTTGTTTATGCCTTTAGTGCATAAAACATCTTGTAGAGAGAAATGTTAGGTGGGTGTGAAATAATGTGAATAGGAATTAGGTTGAGATAAAGTGTTTTGGGGGATGATGATGTGAATGTAATGTGATGATGTTGTAGGCCCGTGAAGCTGCTTCTCCTTGTTGTAAAGCGGCTCTCTGGTCTCATGCTTTCATGTGCGATGCGGTATCAAGTTGCTTGTGTATGGCAAATCAGTGCCCCACAGCCACCACGCAGGCCAACCCCCACACACTACGGCTACCCCATCTCTGTGGTACCATTTTCTCTCAAATACAATCCTATATTTTCATTCTTATTTTTTCTTGCTTTTCAAATCATCTTGTCGCCATTACTAAATTAATAATCACCAATTAGCTGGCACAGCAGGTATGTTTCGATGCTTGTGTTTACTGGATAACCAAGTATCGAAATAATAAGCTGTCGGTGGTGTTGTCTTTAGTTCACTCATAACCATAGGTTTTGTATACATTAGGTTGTTGCTTGCATCCAAAGGTGAAGTTATTTGGTGAGGGACAGTGGTTTTCTTACGCGAAAGCATGAGTTGCTGGTGGTTGAGCTCTCGCTTCTTCCATGCTAGGCTGCTGCCAATTAACCAAATTTCTACTCAATATTCAAATTGGTGGTTTTTACTATACACGATCCGAAAGAGGTGTAAGTCTCAACGGTTTAGATTTGATCTTGTTTATTGTATACTTTAAATATTTACATTTACACAATATGATGTATGATTATTTTTTCTTAAAATAAAAAAATTTAGGAAATTAAATGCATTTAAAGATACGTGAGAATATCTTCCTTTAAAGCTTTGTTGACAAATAGTATTTGTATATTAGACTGAACTATTTTCAGAGTAAAAAAATTCCGATTTATCACCTCAATCTTATTCTTTGACTATATAACTTATTTAATTTAAAGTTAATATAATATAAGTATAACCTAACATCAAATATAATTTAAAAATAAACATAATATAATTTGACTTATATTATATTGGTTTTTAGATTTTAAAAAGAGTTTGTAAATCTAAACCAAAATTATCCAATTCAATTAGTTTTTTTTTTGTATTTTTACTTTGATTGGTTATAATTTTTTATTTATTTTAATTATGATGGTTTAGATTGAATTAATCTAAGTCTTTTTTTTAATCATATTATTGTTGTGAAGTATTTATAAGTTTGTTAAAATTATATATTTTTTTGTTGGAATATATATATATATATATATATATATTTATTTATTTATTTAAATGATATTTTGTAAACTACTATTTTAAATGATATTTTATAAACTACAAAAATATTACACATATAATGCAGATGCAGAGAGCTGTGGAATGACTAAATTAATTTTTAGGAATATTAAAATAGGTTAGTTCTGGTGGATCAGAGCTATGGAACGACTAAATTAATTTTTCGGAATGTTAAAATAGGTTAGTTTTGATCGATCAGTCCATAATTCACCTCAAATAGGTAGACGAAATTAGTATTTTAGGTATGCTAATATCTTATGGTTCCATCTAATGTGTAAATTCAGCGAGTTAAAGGTGGAGTGGAGTATTATAATTAAATTATTAATTATAATTAAATATTTTAATACATAAATATATAAAATTTTCAATTTATCTGTAACAATTGAACTCGTTATATCCTATTTTTATCGAGACGGAATCGAAAAGTACACCTACTACTATATTTTAGCACCAATATTAATTATAATAATTTTCAAACTAGTATAAATATTCACTTAAAAATATGTTAACGTTTAAACTTTCTAGTTTCCTTACTCTTTTTTTAATCCAATTTTACATTAATTTGAAAAGATTTTAATTCATGATTTTATCATTCAAAGCCTTTAATGGCTTAAGTTCCTAAATTTTTTTATTTATGATTGAAGTTATATAATTTTTTTTATTCATGATTTATTTTAAAACTTGAATTTATCACTAAGTGATGAATGGATTAAATCTTTTAAAAAACCATCTAGTTATTTTAATCTTTATCAAACATGATTTAGTTTAAAGTTTCCTAATTCTAATTCTAACGAGACAATAAATGTTAGAATTAAGCTGCTTACAAAAATAGTCCTAATTGAACTGTATTCACAATATCTTTTCAGAGGACTCGGGTTGTGAGGTTCCAAAGAAATTTGTAAATTGCTCAACTCTGGTTGTAACAATGACAATAGCATAATTGCCAAGTGAAAGATTACCCACTCTTGTAGAGAAGACCAAGACGAACTAAATGCAGTTTCATTTATTATTTGTAGGAGGCAAGAAAAGAAGCAATTGTGTTTTCTTGACCACCAAAGAAAAATGAACATAGCATTAAAGCTATTCTTGACTTGCCAACTAGTTGTTATCCACCTTTTGCATGTGGTCCTTCTTTTTCTTGTTAAATGGGAAGGGTTTGAAGCCTTGTTGAAGCAACTTCTCTACCTCCTCAAACTGAAGGCCTTTGGTTTCAGGCACTAATGCATAAATTGCTATAATTGCAACCACGGAGAACCCAGCAAAAAGTAGGAATGTGCCGGCTGCACCTAAAGACTCAGTCATGCTTAAGAATGACTCACTCACAATGAGATTAGCACACCAGTTGGAAACTGCAGCTATACCTCCACCTAGTCCTCTGTATCTCAACGGGTATATCTCTGAGTTCAGAACCCAAGGCACTGTTCCCATTCCTGGAGAGTATGCTAGGATATACAATCCCAACACTGCCACAGCTAGGATTCCAATTTTGCTTGGACAACCCTGAGAAAACCATACTCGATTATTTGCACGGCACACTCCTCTTATACTCTTTTCTGCAGACAAGCATGCACCCGGATGGTACTGTACAGCAAACAAGGTTGCACAGTGTTCAGCATAATTTATACATATTCTTCGAAAACAAGCATGAGAAGAAATTATATCAGATATTCTGAGTCTACGACATGTTTTTAGTCCTGGCAAATAATCAAACATTAGCTTATGACAAGAGGAAGCTGGAGGAACCTACTTCATTGTCGCTGTTGGCGCAGAAGGCACACTTTTCATGCAAACATTGCATGCAGTTCCACGAAGAGAAGTTAGGGGCATTTGTATAAGCCTGGCATGTAAAGTTGGCACCAAAACCGAGGGTGTCCTTGTTACTAACTGCAGGAGCATGTTTAGCTGCCTGGTAAAAGATAGCGCTTGAAATGATGAGGCACACAATTATTCCAACCATGGAAATGAGCATTAGTCTTCTCCTTCCGTATCTATCAATGAATACCATGCTCAAGACAGTGCCAACAACATTGAGACCAGATGTAATGAGAGAGAGAGCTATAGCTGTGGAGTTAGAGGCAATTCCAGCAAACTGAACAATGGTTGGGCTGTAATACATGAGTGTGTTAATGCCCACAAACTGCTGAGCAACTTGAACAGTGATGCCAGCATACAGACCTCTTCGAACTACATCATTTTTAAAGGCATCCTTTAATCTTTTTACCAAATTCTTTTTCCCATTCGAGTCTTCCTCCTTCTCAGCTTCAATGGACTCTCGCATCGCTCTTATCTCCTCTTCAATTTCCTCTTGCCGATAGATTCTCAACAGGATGTTCCTTGCCTTCTCTTCCTTCCCCTGAAATACAAAATGGATGCTAATGGCTCCGAACACTAATAAGCCAAAACCATAAAACCTCACGGAAGGATCAAAGGATGAACAATTGTTTACAAAACGTTTTATCAAATCTTTAAATAGAACCATGAAATAAAAAAATAATTAGTATATCCAAGGTATCAATTCCTAAATAAAACCAATATAAGGATTTATTTTGCTTTTTGCTGATCTTTGGCAGTGAAGATGCTAAACATTTTTAAATCAAACCTATGTATTTCATCAGAAATATATGCAGATTCGTCGTGTAATGAAAGCATTAGCTTCATGCAATAGCCTATTAACCTAGTTTATGCTATTGAACAATAAACACATGTAAGCAATTATTTTGCCAAATGTAGACCACTCTTCTTAACAATTTCACAAACAGAATGCACAAAAAATTCAATTTGGATCGGTAGGAAGATTTGCAAGACCTGTCTGTAGAGCCATCTGGGTGATTCAGGGAGGGACGACATTAATACAAACTGAAGCGCAGCAGGAATTCCTGCCACCCCAAGCATCCATCGCCATGTTCCTGGTGCCTGAAACACATGAAATTGACCATTTAGAAAAAATAACCCTCTGATCTGCCAACGTTATCCAAAAGTTTTAGACTCCAGCTCAGTTCATATATGTTTGTTGCATACCTTGGTGAATGCCAAATTGATAAGGTAGGACAGAAATTGTCCTCCTGTGAGAAGCAAACCATTGACACAGACTAGAGCTCCTCTGATGTTATGAGGAGAAGCTTCTGAGATGTATAGAGGCGCAGTCATGGATGCCATGCCGACTCCCAAACCAACTAATACTCTCCCAACAATGATGACCCAGGGAGCTGGAGCAATAGCCATAATTATTGCACCAACAAAGAACAAAACATCAGACGCTAAAATCGACTTTTTTCGCCCAAAATAGTCATTCATCCATCCTCCGAATGCAGCACCAATGATGGCTCCTGCAACAGCCATACTTACAATCGTTTCCTGCAAAGCAATAAGATAAAATATTAAGTCAATCATCTTGAAATAGAGAGTGAAAGTACCTTCCTCCTTAACTTGATGCATGTATAGATTAAAGTTTACAAACGTAAGTTTCAATGTTCAATTTTACTTCTTAAGGGTAAGATGGTCCCTCCAAACCTTCAACCAAATATACCCTTGCATGGTTGAGAAGGAAAATTGTCAGATGTGAGCATAATTCACCTGTAGCCATGTTTTCTTTTCAACTTGTTCAAAGTCCTCTCGAATGTACAATAAAGCTCCAGAGATCACACCTATACGTGAGGATTTGAAAAAATAAAAATAAAAAAATTGAAGAAACATTTTCATATGATGCTGCAGAAGCAACCAACGTGTCTAAGAAAATTGAAAAGGTTTGTGATGTGGCAAATACCTGTGTCATAGCCAAATAGAAGACCTCCAATGCCAGCTGATAAAGCAAGGCGCATAATGTATGGTGAACCTGTTGCTCTGTTCCAGCATTCTGTGAATTCGGCCTTGCTTGCAGTTTGGTGACCCCCTTCCATTCTTAAACGCTAACTGGACCTCTGAAAGTAGCATATATGAATTGGTAAATGGAGCTAGCAAAATTGAAATACATAAACACTTCTTCCAATCAACTTGTTTTTACTATTATACGACAGAACCATATTCCAACATTTGTGAAACCACCGACCACAACACGCTTTCAACCCCTTATCCAAATCTATGAAAGCATAAAACAACATACGGAGAGTAATTTGCTTTTTGCATGCCTAAATGGCATATAACATTGTTTACTTAAATTTTTGTCAAACACAGCCAACTATACAAAAAATTATGAAATATTTTACCTTTCGGAGAAATGGGATCCGCTGAAACTCCAGGGTGTGTGCAGTTCCAAATTCCACCTCAGAAAGTATGCATATTCATTTAATTTTAAACAAAGGATTTCCCTTATATTGACGCAATTCTTTTGACTTCTGTAGACATTTCATTTCCCCATTGATAAGAAAATTAAATTCGAATCTGCCCAATGACTTCTTCTATTTATTGTCATCGTTTTTAGTATCACCAAAGTCAGAATAGTCATCACAAACAAGAGTGTGCCAGCCAAAAAATTCTGTTTTTGATGAATATGCATGTTGTGTACGTTTCAGAATTCTAGCATGCATTGAGTATGGTGAGACATGACAGCTGTTTATTCCGCAGGGATGCTGATTCTCTAATTTTTCATTGGAAATGGCTACCTCTGTGTTAACGTTTCACTTCACTGGGTGGTGGAAAAGTGAGTCAAGTATAATTCAGAATTACTTTTATCAAAAATCATACTCCAATAGTGTCAATGATTCAATTTACAGGGCTAAGCACATTAATTATTTGTTTCAATGAAAATTTTACATGACGGTGTAAGTTATTTTATAGTATTTTTTTAGAATAAATAGTTGGTTTCGAATATCGAAGATATTGATCTCAATGATCCTTTCGTTTTAGTGAGAGTGTAACTGACATTGATTTGCTGTTGTTTTTTAGATATTAGGTAAAAGTTCCACACATTAACTGTTTGAAAATTCTGAATCAGGGAATAAAGGGTGAATTTGAGGATGAAAATTACAACAAAGTCTCGGAATAACATGCAAACATGACATTTAGTGAACTTTGAAATGGTTGAAAATATTTTAGGAAAAAGATATATAAACTCGCTATCTTAAAATTTTGAGTATGAAAATAGATTTATAATTCGTTAGTAAAAATATAAACTGATCAAATTAATGTTTCAGAACATTAAAAACAGAAATTAATTTTGAATACTTAAAAGACTAAACAGTATAAATAGTGAAATTTTCAAAGCTAAATTAATGAATTTCTCTCTCTATATATATATATTTGCTAAGTATTTTGGAGGGTTAACAATAATAAGAAAAGATCCTTAGATGAGTTATCACCTCCACGTAATGTTCTTACTTTCTACACCTCCATAATTTTTCTTTATATCTCTATATCCTAAGTCAAATCTCAAAAATGTTCTTTCCATAATTTTATTTTTTATCCTAATTTTTTCTTCTATTTGTGTATAATTTTTCCATCTCCATCTTTTAGCTATTTGATTTTTTTTACTATCACTCCATTGAAGTTATTTTCTAACAATTATGAATTACATGTTCATGCACTCAAATTACACAAACAAACCACAATTACTAACCTAAAATAGTGTCCAAAAATGAGATTGAATTTTGGAAAAGTCAATCCGAAAATGCATTACAGATTTGATGTTCTGGAATATATTTTCGGATATATATTCCGGATTGGGTGTTTTGGAATGCATTATTGGAATAACTTTTATAGAAACACATTCTGAAACATCCAATTTGGAATGCATTTTCGGATTGGTATTTTTGAAAACACATTTTGAAACACTCAATCTGTAATGTATTTTTGGATTGACTTTTCCGGAAACGCATTTCAGAATCAATGTTTTTGAGAGGTCAATCAAGAATGCATTCCAAGATAAAGATAAGTGTAAGGGTAGAATGATGTTTAATTTAATTATGAGGTGCAGGAGGAGATGTAGTGGGTTGAGCTCCCAACTATGTGTCCAAAAAAACTCAAATTAGTAAAACTCATTTTATCAAGGGTCTTTTAGGTCAGAACAAAGTGGTAAATTTCACATTCTTTTGGAAGAGAACAAAAAATAGTTTCGCTTATTTATCGAGTCGTCTTAGTAAAATTACGATTCTCATTTTGTTCACCATTAGATCAAACTGGAATTTTGACAGTTGGGATAGTTGAAAACATGGTTCACGGACTAAAATTCTTCGCTTTGACAGATGAGATAGTTGAAAATATTTTTGCTACATACTTTGGTATCGACTCTGATACCACTGTTAAGTATTTTAAAAGAGATTCTCACAAATGGGATATGAGTCAAACATCTAAGGGAATATGACACCACCTTCAATCTCACCAGACGAACAATCAGCTCTGATACCACTATTAAGTAATTTCGATGAGAGCTAACAATAGAGAAATTCTCATAAATGAGAAATGAGTCAATCATATAAGAGAATAAAACACCACCTTTAACAACAAATCTTTAGACATTAGGTTACGAGTCTTTCTCCCGTATAATATACTCAACTTAATCATTTCTAACTAATAAATTAATTAACGAATTTAAGACGGTGAAAAAGTGAAAATCTCGGAAGACATTTAACATGAAAAATATCTCATTCAATTGTCTCAAGTTGTTTTTCTTTTATCTTTATTTACATAATTGATTTGTTAATCTGTTTCTTTCAAGATGAGACGGAACTGTAGTTAAAAGATAAAAAGAGTCCAATACAAAAATTAAAATTTATTTAGTGAATATATAAATATCAATTTTATACTGAGTGAAAGAACATATTTTATTAAATATGTTTCCCCAAGAAGACAAATTTAACATCTTGATTTTAAAGACTCAACCTACCACTAACATTATTTAAGCAGAAAATACTACTAAGAACATTTATGAATTTATAACACAAATAGTTTGAAAGTAGAAAAATAAAAAAAAAGTGATAAATATCATTGTTTTAAAATCAATTTTGAGAGAATTCGTGCACATCTCATGTCTTGTTTATTCTCTCAAATAGCTTGTCTAGATCCAAGCATTCAAGTTTAGAAATTTGTTAGAACTTCACAAACAATCACAAATAAAAATAAGAATTCAATTAAGCATCAAATCTTTAAATAAACAAGCATTGTTTATAGAATTATTATGTTATGAGGAAAAAAGATAGATCACAAGATTAAAGAAAAATAAAGATAAAATTTATACCTACAATCAATATTTATGAACTAAAAAAAATAAAGAAAAAAGAGGTTTTTATAATTTCACTCTTTAATAAAAAAAGTAATTTTTTTGTTGAACCTGGGTCTAATGCTTTTTTGAATAAACTCTAAGTGGATATAGTAGTAGAAGTCATAGTAGAAATATTTATAATAAATTATTCCAAGTTCCACCATAAAAAATAAAGCCCTAATTTCGGAATCAAGATGATGATGTTAAGGAAAATGGTGAGTTAGATGATTAAACAATGAGTTTAAAATAATGAAAAATTTAAGTGAATATACCTTGATCATAATAATGAAGAGATGAAGCAAAGGGTTGTAGGTATAATAAATGCACTTCACATTTTATTTCCGTTGTAGTTGAAAATAATGAGGGGGAGATTGATGGAAATGTTCTTACATTCCCAAGAGATGATTTTGATGATTCAAGTCAACTACATTCAAGTCAACATCATTCAAGATGAATTAAGGACAAGCTGAATTTAAGATGTTAGTGAAAATGTGAAACATTTCCCTACATGCCCAAGATATGTTTTTGATAAAGATGATGATTCAAGCAAGTCCAAGATGATTTCTGAAGACTGAATAGAGTCTTAGAATACTGGATATGGAGATATAAGTTGATGAAGTAATATTATGCATAAACCTCCAAAGCACAAGTGTGATAAAATTCATAACATGATATTTTTCACTGTCATAATCAATTATGATACATCAGAAATGAAAAAATAATTTTCTTTGACATAATTGATTATAATGGTAACATAGTCAATTATGTCAATTCAAATTTGAAAAATATATCCGTTTTGAAAAATAAATGTTTTTGAATATATCCTGATTTTTATTCACGAAAATATTAATGTCCAACGACCATTTTCTGATGCTATTTTTCTATTTAATTAAGTTTTGATGAAAAATCAAATACACACAATTACAGAATTCGAAAATACAATTTACATTCAATCAGTTTTGAGAAAAGAATTCTGAGTAAGACAACATAGATATTTTATACCTTCTGAGAAAATCATCTTCTCTACTGTCATTGTTAATCACACTTGTTCTTGGAGATTGACATTCTACAATTTGTTGTCTCCATTACCCAGGTTTGACTGTTCTTATTTTTATTACCTTCATCCTTTGTGTATTGGTGACAAAGGAGGTGTTTTTCATCTCTAGTGTGATTCTAGGGAGGTGTTCATCCTTAGGATTCTAAGAAGGTGTTTTTTCATTCTTTGATTTGTTCAGAGGAGGTGTTCATCCTAGTAGGATTCTAGGGAGGTGTTCATCCTAGTGGGATTCTAGGGAGGTGTTCATCCTTAGTGGGTTTCTAAGGAGGTGATTGTATTTTTAATTAGTTTACTTTTTATTGGTTCTTCCGCTGAGTTTATTGTAATTTGTAAATTGAATTTGAAAGATAGTGAATTGTGAGTCACTCTTGTGTTAAGAGTTGACTGTGAACTGGATGTAGGGTTGACTATACCCGAACCAGTATAAATCACTTTGTGCTCTTCTCTTTCCTTTATCTCTCTCTTTTCTTGATTATATTATCGTTTCCGCTTTATCTATGTTCAAACAAATTATTAACTCATAAATAAATTTTTCATTTGTCATCTATTTTAATTTGTGCATCTATTCACCATTCTAAATGTCATTTGTCTAACAGTAGTTTCTTTTCTCTCCTCTTTTAATATGATATTGGATATGAAGAAAGATATAATTCAATAAGATGATGTGATAAAAAGTAATAGAAAATAACTTATCTGGTGAGAAAGAAACTAAATGTATTAATTAAGTGATTTCACGTGTTTTTGGCAAAAAATTAATACACAACTTTCTATTAATTATTTGTTTTGAAAGGGAATTGTTAACAAGTGAGAGTGGGGTCAGTTAATCCTATTCTAAGTTTGTGAGCATAATAGAAAAATTTTGATAGTTAAATTTTACTTATATTTTCAAAATTATTTATAATTTTTAGTATAATCTAATTTTATATTAAGTAAATAGATTAATAAAAAAAATTTAATATGATTTAAATTTAAAAAATTATTAATATGTTTATATTAAAATAATTAATTAAAAACAAATTATAATAATAAAATCAATTTTTATTTTAAACATAATAATTTATAATTTAATATATAAACTATAAAAAAATAATTCATTAACTCTTAAAATAAAAAATTAATTTTATATTTATTTTTATAATAAATAAATATCTTATTAAATTAATCTATAATATATAAATATATATTAATAAAATAATATTTTTTATATTTTATTTAAAAATAATTTATATTTTGTAAAAAAATCGTCTATAAATATATAAATTAAGTCATGACTTAAATGTAGCAATACTAAAATATATCATATTTAATTTATTTATAAATTTTTTAACTTTTTAGACTTTTTTTCTTAAAATTTTAGGTCATAGAATAATTTTTTAAATAATATATTTTAAAAAAATTACTCATTTAAAATTTTAAATAATTTATTTATTTATTATTCATAAAATATAAAATATTTATGATTTAAATGTAATTTTATTTAGTAATTTAACTAATTGAGTCATGAATATTAGTCATATTAGATAATTTAAAAAATATTGATTAAAAATTTATTTTAAAATAATTTTTTTTTAATAATTATAACATATCAATTTATAATATCTCAAAATTATAATATCATATTTTTAAAAATTAATATATTAAGTTATAATATTTTTTAATAATTAAATATGTTTATTTTAAAAAAATAATAAAATAGTCATTTTATTAAATTAAAATTTAGTATTTTAATTAAAATAATAAGATGAGTGATAAAAAGAATGAAAAAGAGGGAGAAAAACAGATAAAAAAACAATAAATAAATGAAAGAGATAAAAAAAGATAAATAAAGAAAAATAATCTTATTATATTAAATAAAAATATTTTTTATTATTAAATTTTGTATATAAACAATAAAATGATTTAATTAAATAAAAAAAATAAAATATTCTATTAAAAAAATATTTTAAATATATTATTTAAGAAATTTATTTAAATATTCTTCCCCGTACAAAAGTTCATTTATAAAACGAGTAGATAAAACTGAAAATGAGAGGTGGCACACACATTTTATTTGGGGTAAAAATGTTTTTTTTTAGTATTTTTTAAAAATTATTTTTAATTTTTATATGCTTAAAATAATAAATTTAGTCTTTCAATTTTTATGTAATTTTTTTATAGTTAAATGTATCGTAATATTTTTTATTGACATAAAATTTATAAAGTTATTTGACATATTTTAGAATTTTGAAGAAATAATGGATTAATTTTAAAAAATGTATAAGAACTAAAATTAAGTTGGACAAAAATTAAACATAAAAGTAAACTTTTAAGAAGAGGATAAAACAATTTTAATTGATTGAGAAAATACAACATGTAAAATATTTTAGCATATAAAAGTTAAAATCTATTTTGTTTTAACTGATTGATTAATTAATATCATTTAATAAAATCATATTGGAATGTAAACAATTTTACATCTAAACTATTTATTTATTTTATTTATATAGAGATAGATAGATAGGAATGTCTTTCAAATTCATTTGTGAAGTTTTTTTCTAATTAATACAATGAAAAAGGATGACAAGGGAAAATTAAGACATTTATGTTAGTTTATTCAAAATAAGATTGTATTCTATTTATGTTATATTCTTTAGATAGTCGTGAACATTTTTTAATTTTTTATTTGAAATAAAAATTATTATAATTAAATAAAAATAAGTTCATAAAAAATAATAAGGTACTTAAAAGTCGGTTCATATTATTTTTCTATGTTATGAAATTAATGAAGAATACAATATCAAATAATAATTTTATATTATAAAATAAGATTTTTTATGTTACCTCATATATATTCTGTATTTTTTTTTCACTAAAGAAAATTTAATATTTTTTCTATTTTTCGATTTTTCACAATTCATAAAATGTAATTTAATAAATCCTTGATCAGATGATTATCAATTTATTAAGTATACATTCACAAAATCATTCAATATAATTAATTTCAAAATGATTTACACACACAAAATCTAATTAAATATATTGTAATATGTCTTAAACAAAAAAGCCCTGTAGAACGTGCCATGATATTTTTTTTCAATAATTTTATATTCATCAAACATTATAAAGCTCAATGTTTGTTTGATGGTTTAAGTTTTATCTATTATTACTTGATTATAAATCGGTATATCTAATAAAATTGTTTTTATTTTTTAATTATTATTTTAAAAGTTACATCTAAAATGATTTGTTATTAATTTAATATGATTTTTTATTGTAATATATTATATTAGTGGTATAATGGTTTTACTCAATCAAGTAAAAATCACATTAAACATAATTTTTAATAATATTTATAAACTTTTTAAAAAAATATTCAATTACTCGAAAATATATAATAATATTACAACTTTTCTTTAAAAGTTTTTGAACTTATATTTAACTGTAAGGATTGATATCAACTTACGTATAAAGATTGTATGATTTTTAATTTAAAAATGAGAAACAAAATACAACTACCAGAATTTATATATAATCAAGTAATTTTTTTTAATGATATATATATATATATATATATATATATATATATATATATATATATATATATATATATATAACGTCTCTTAATTATTTAGTCTAATCTATTTTAAAATTTTAGTATAATTTTATTTTACTTAATTTTATGAGTCAATTATAAAAATTTAATTATCCAGTCTAATTTATATTTTAAAATAATTTCAAAATTTTAATATAATTTGATCCTATATTAAATTAACTTGATTGATTTTTTTTTTAAATTATTAACATATTTATATCAAATAAAATAATTAAAAATATTTAATTAAAATAAAAATTATATTTTTAAAATTTAAAAATTTATTAATAAAATTAGTTTTTATTTAAGATTTAATAAATTAATATATATAAATTATAAGAGAATTAATATACTCATTAAATATCAAATTAAGAATTAAAAACTTTACTCTTTATTATTATTATTATTTATTTATTAATAATTTATTATTTTAAAATAATAAATAATCTTAATCATTAAATGTTTATTATTATATTATTTATTTCTTAGTAATTTAATAATTTAAAATAATAATTAATCTTAATTATTAACTATTAAAATAAGTGATAAATAACAATTTATTCTTATATTTATAATTTAATCTATATTAATTTAAGAATGTGATGATACTTTTTAATAATTATATATATATATATATATATATATTTTTTTTCTATTTTTTCTTTACGAGTAATTATTTTAATATTACAAATAATTGCTATTTTTTAAGTAATCATGTAAGCAATTTTTTTAATGATATAACTAATATATATATATATATATATATATATATATATATATATATTTAGTAGTGTATATGTTTTTATTATATTTTAAAATAGACAGTTAACTCCAGTTTAATATACAAATTTGATCACTCAATTTAATCTATATTTTAAAATAAATAAAATTTTTAATTTGATTCTATGTTAAATCAATAAGTTAATTTTTGCTTGATTAATTTTTTTTTAAATATTAACATATTTATATTAAAATAATTAATTAAAAATATTTAACTAAAAATAAAAATTTATTTTTCAATTTTAATTTTTATTAATAAATTTATTTTTTACTTAAGATATAATAATTTAATATATAATTTTTAAGAGAATTCATTAATTTATTCTTAAAATAAAAATTAAAAACTTATTCTTTATTATCATTATTTATTTTTAATAATTTATTATTTTAAAATAATAATTAATCTTAATCATTAAATTTTTATTATCATTATTTATTTTTTAATAATTTATTAATTTAAAATAATAATAAATCTTATTATTAGATCTTTAAAAGTAATAAATAAATATTTATTTTAAAATTTATTTATAGAATAAGTAAATCTTTTATTAAATTAATTTATAATATATATATATATATATTAATAAAATAATATTATTTATTCTATTAAATAATCAACCTATAAATTTACGGGATTTTTTAAAAATAATATTATTTTTATTTTAAAATAATTATTTATTATATTAAATATTTATAAATAATTTGATCTAAGATTATTTGGACTCTGATTTAAATAGACTGAATTAAAATAAACTTTAAATCACACTTATATTTTTTTCTAAAATAACTTATTTTTCATATCTTCGAGTTCGGTATAATGCAATTAACATTGTTTCATACATGTATATGCAGTAAAATGGTGTTTATTGTCATATTAAGGACATCATGATCATGCCAAAGACAAAAAAGTTATGAAATCAGATGCACACAAGTAAGAAAAATATTTATTTCTTACCAGGAATTGGGTGCTGTGTTTGGATATGAGTCTGTTGATCTAAAATTCACTTGCAAAATGATGCTTGAGTTGATACCAACTTCTTCTGTCTTGACGTGATTCTTTTAGGATTGAACGAGAAACCAAACACGCACTTGGAAGCTAGCCTGTTCAGGTGGTCTTTCCCTGCATTTGTTCTGTCTTGTTCCCGTCCAGGATGTTTGGTTGGATATTCATTTGCCAGTTCTGAAAAGTAAGTGGGGGTTGTTGGGTTTATTTGCAGGTACAACAACGTCATGTCTTTGTGCTCCACTTTCACTCCTCCACGGGTGAATCTGAGACAAATACTAACCAAATTTTACCACGATTCTTTCCTTAATTCTATCCCATCCCTACGCATGCCATCCAAATGGATGGTCCTGGGAGTTTTTAAAGAATGAATTCTTTTAACTAATAACAAATGCCGTTATAGTTTTTTTTTATATAACTTTTTAGTTTTTTAAACATTATAAGCAATTGATTTCATTTTTCCGCTAAATATTTAATTTCATATATTAAGGTTTATCAATTTGTTTAAAAAATATATAAGTTATATCAAAATTCTCAATGAATTTGAAGATCGTTTGTTTCTATTTTTATTTTTTTTTCATTTATTTTTGTAATACTATCTACTGTGAAAATTGTTAAAACAATTTAATTTAAATTATTTTTGGCCAAACTTTATCATAGATACTTTCATGAAACAAAACAATTTATTGAATTTTTTTATAAGTTAAAATTAATTTTTATATAAGTTAATATATAAAAAGCTCTCATAAATTTTCTTTATTTTAATTTTAAAATTTATGAATAAATTAATTTTAACTCAAAGATTTTTTTTTCTTAATATTTTTTTTTATAAAAAAAGGTTATCGAATGCAATTGTGGTTATTGGTGTGGATGACAAAATTATTTGCCGGAATTATTAGGATAACATGGCAAGAAACTGCTTGAACTGCATGGGTGTATAATTTTTAATTTCTAGTTCATTCTATAATCTAATATGTAAACTTTGCTTTTAATGATTGGATTCAACTTCAGAAAATCTGATTCTGTTAGGTACAGTTCTAAAATGATATACATAAATCTCGTCCATTATTTAATACTTAAACAAAATTTCAATTGATAATTACAATATCAGGTTCAAAAAATAAAATTGTTATTCTAACTAGTAAAGCTAGTTATCTTTTTAAAAATAATTAACATTATGGTTAGAATCATTTTTATGTTTTTCTTTTCTTTTAAAAGATCAATTTTATTATTTATTTTGAGATGCAATATATGTGATTAATTTGGTGGTCTATTTAATTGAGTTTAGGATATTTAGGTAAATATGCTACTAGTTTCAAATTGGAAAAGTTAAGACTCTTTCGACAAATATTGTCTGATAAAAACAAAAAATTATGTTCATAAAAGTAGTAAAAAGAAATAATGTAATATTTGAATACCAATACCATTAGCTGCTGATTGTACAAGTACAAGGGCATTAGTGATTCATTACATTATAGTGTGTATCCTATTCTGCTCTACAATGTCTAAATTGAAAGCGTTATACAAGAAAATTTTATTTCTGAGGCGTTGTCGTTTCCGAAGCAAAACTTAATGATCGAGCAATTCGCTTGACACAGTTCAAACGCAAGGGTTTTGTTGTGCCACTGTTACCTGATATGAGATGAAGGGTTTCAACAGTCAACTATAACATATTTCCCCCCAAAAAAATAATAAAAAAACTAAATAAAAGGTTGTTTTGGACACCATTTTTGTCAGATTTTCTCACCATGATTAGCACTTGAAGCTGGTATGAACTCTGCTGGGACAATTTGATTGTCAAGTGGCACACTCATTGAATTTCCTAGGTTTCGTGCAAGCTGTTTAATATTACTTAGACGCAACCTTCTTGGAAAACCTTCCAACTGAATTGATGATCCTGTTTCGTTCATTTTTCATTATTGCATTTGCATAACTAATAATTAAGCAATGAATGTTATTAATATCTCTTTTAAATTAATTAAATTATATAAACAGTTTCTATAATATTGAATGTTTATTAATTTTATTTTAACATTTCATATTTTAATAACTCCTATATACTAATTTGAAACTTTTTTTTTGTACTTAAATGTTATTTTTAATACTTGAAAAATTTATCAATAAAATCTATCTATTAAGAAAGTAATTTTTACAGACGAAAAATTGATGCTTTATTTGATAATAAAGCACAATAAAATGGACTAATACAACTAAATTTTCTGTTTAGTGATAGTTTAAAATTCTCAAATATTAAATTGTGCAATTTTATACTTTTAAATTTTGATTTAGTCAAAATTAACTTAAGGAAAAAATCATATTTGCGATTCTAAAAGGACCTTAATTGCTGTAATGGAAGCTAAAATATTCACTAACAATAGCTAATAATCCCAATTCAGAGTTATTGAAACTGAAATACATAATTTGTAAAAGGTAAAAAATAAATAAAAAAATTAGAACTATATATTTATTTTAACAAAAAATACAGAATACCTTGATGAATTTGTAAGGTTTGATGTTGAGGATGAAACAGTGTATGGTGTGATGGGGTGAAAGGAGTGAGCCATTGAGGGTGAGCACTGGTAGTGGCCAAGGCTTCAGAAGAGGTTGGTTGAGGAAGAGGAAGAGACAGTAATTGAGCATTTGCAGCTCTCTGTCGCCGGAGCTGGTAGTTTCTGCGGCGGCGTGCAAGGTGTCGTTCCCTCTGCTCTTTAGTCATTGATTGTCTCCTCTGCCTGTCACGAAGACGACGCCGTTCCCTCTCTTCCTCCCGTTCCATTCTGCAAACCTCCTTACATACAAATTACTCATCAAACCATTTTTTTTTTCTTCCTAAATAATACCATAAATTAACATTTTCAGATCTTCTAATCACCAATAGAGAGAGAAAGAGAATTTTCAGAAATGTTATTCTTGGAGAATCCTGCAGAATCTGGCAGAGTGAATCACAACGGTGCAAGCTTGCCATATTATTATACCACAATAGTACAGAATTGAGCTTCTATTGAATTTTCGTTTTCTTCAAATTCTTTAAGGAAATTAGATTAACACTAATGGTGGATTAAGAATAACCGATCCTATGCGAAGTAAGTAAGGGTCAATTGGTAAGTTTAAACAGTAAAATTACACTCTCAAGAAACAGGTAAAAGACAGCAATTAAGGACTTCTAATATAAAAATTCATTTGTGTTAATGAATGGTTGTGAATTGAGATTAAGTTGAAGATTGGGGAAGAAGACATTTTACCTGTCACTGCAGATTCGATAACTGAAGTGCCAATGGAAAAAAATGTATGCAAAAGGGCATGTGAAATGAAATCAAGAGTTGTATTTTAGCATAATAAAAATTTAAATAAATTAAAACGATCATATATAAGGAACATTTTTTTTAGAGAAATATATTTTGCAATTAATGTTTTTGTAATTTATTTCCATTTTAAGCCAGAATAATATTTGGTTAAGTGAATGTACATACAGGCACGAAAAACATTCAAGTGCATTAATTTCTTTTATTATGATATTCTATCAATACTTAATAGTCAATTAATATAAACAATATATATAGTTTGGAAACATGAAAAGTAAATACATACACATATAAACGAAACAGATTACATTGTTAATTAAAAAGTTATCAAATTGAAAATAAGTTATTAAAAATTTTAAAATGTCAGGTGACAGTTTAAGGAAAAGGATTTTAATATTAATTTTTTAACATCGAAAATATTTATAAGATGGAAAAAATTAAAAGGGTTTCAATTATTATAGATGAAAGATTAAAAAAATAATAAAAATTTCCAAATAAATTTTATAATATTATATGAATATACATATTTTGTTTTTCTAAAATTAGGATTGACCATATAAAAAGTATGTTGACGTTATCCTTTTAGATCATATTTAGGTGACTTTATAATATGATGTATAAATAATACATTCATTAAACAATCTCACTCAAATCTCTTAGAAAACTTGGACCATTGGATGGGTCAGAGGAATATTGTAGCCCGCGTCTAAATGATGGATTTGATTTTATTTAGAAGTGGTGATCCCTTAATCTAATCTAACGGTCAGCATGAGAGAATTGGTCGGTCTGGTGCAGCGGATCCACAAATCGTGTTTCCAGTTGCGTCCCTCCCACGTTTGAATAACGTGTCTGCTCCAAATTAATGATTATATTATGCTTTTCCATTTTAATTTTATGCTTCCTCGAACACGTTTTAGAATTAGAGTCGTGGAACATCAACAACAACACGTTTTAGCGACAGTGCGTGAATCCGACACATTAGTTGTTAATTAGGAGAGTGTGTTTGAACACATTGTTTGTAAAAGCAAGATCTTTAATTGAATAGGGTATCGTTCAATTCGTGTGTTACTTTTAACTTCGGACGATGGAAAATTGTTACCTCATGTTATTAATGTTTTGAAAATTGAATTAGAAGGACTATTTCAATCATTTTTTAACTCGGCTAATTATTTTTAAATTTTTTTAATTAAATCAGTATAAGTATAAAATTAAAAAAATTTGATTGAATTTTTAAATCAATTTTTAAAAAATTGACATTATTATTTTTTATAAAATATTGAATATATATTTTTATTTTATATCAATTAAATCAATTTAAAATAATAATTATTTTATTATATTTTATCTTATTTTAATTATTATTTTTTATATTTTTAAATAAATTTTATATTTATAAATAGTATAACAAATATTATTTTTTATAATTAATTTTTACTATTTTTTTATAAAAATTATTGATATTAATTAATTTATTATATTATAAAAATATTATTTTATTTAATTTGATTGAATGATAAAATTCAGAATTCATTTATTATTTATAAAAATTAATAACTTATAAAATTACTCCTTAATTCATCAAAACTATTATATATATATATATATATATATATATATATATATATATATATAATCTTGACTTTGAAGTTTAATTATATGGTATCTAAATAAATATTTTTATGAGACTCACTAAATAAACAAGTTAGGTGTTAAAACGTGTTGATAGAAGGAAATTTCTTAATTATAATAATATGGTGTTATTATTTTTAATCAAAATCTTAGGTTCCAAAATATATGTCAAAGAAAGGGTTAAAATATAATTAATTAAAATTAATAATTACTATTGGCTTAAATCAATGTAAAATAAAAACTTAAGACTTTTATTTAATTATATTAGCGCGTTATCAAATATGTAAAAATTAAGAAGTTAGTTGTAGACCTTTAAAAGAATTACACCCATCCATGTATTTGATGAAAATGCGAATATCAATAATTCATTACCAAACTAATAGGTCATAACAAGTGATAACAATGTTTTTTACAATAATTATTGAAATATCTTTTAAAACATAGGATGGTGAAAATACAAACTAATTAAACATCTTTAAAACTTTTGATGTATACTGTTGATTGATGGATAATAATTGAAAAAAATGATTATACTAAATCAATTTAAGTCCAATTAATAAGAAATTAAGATTTTAATTTTAATAATATTATAAACTGATGATATGAATAAGACTTACTAAGATAAGTTTATTTTTTAGGTTATTTACATCATGAGTGATTACGTGAAACCAACCCTAACATCTTTCTATCATATTTTATCAATCTATACATTTTTAACTTGCCTGCTAATTGTTCAAAACCACTTCAAGTTAGACTTTTTTTATTTTTTATTTTTTTTACTTTATCTTCTTTTATTTTGAAGTAAAATTACATATTTACATTTTCACCCTTATCTCTTGCTTTATATTTTATCTTTAATTTAATGTCTTCATTTTATCTATTTATTTCCTAACTTTTGTTTTATCTTTATTTTCATCTCTTATCTTTGTCCGTTTTATCTTAGATTTAGAAAAATATTTCATTACCTGTGGATCCATACATTTGTCAAAATACTTTAATAAGTTTATGGGGTAGTGGTTGAAGCCTAGCATTTAAGTATTTTTTTTATTACTTATTTGTTAATTATTTTACGTAACTTTATTTATTTTTTACAGTATTTATTTTATATTTTCTTTGAACTCATCTTCTTAACTAGTGAATTGGGATATCTAGCACACGGTTTCTTTCTTTTACGTTATAAAAAAGTTTTATATTATTTAAGGATGAGAAATATTGGAATTCTGTATACATTACTCAAAACCTACCTAGTAACATGACTCTCTTTGTGATTAATAAATGTGACTTGATCCTTTAAAAGTTGAGTACCTACTTGTATGAATGATCCTTTCTTTATCCTCCTCCACTTATTGCATAGCTTGGGACATGAAGGGTATTGTTTTGCTGCCACATTTTCTTTAGGAGCTAAGCATCTTGGGGTTCTTCAAAATTATATTTTTCATATGGATAGTGCTTCTCACAAATATTTTATAATAAAAAAATCTGTTATATATTATTCTGTGGACAAATTATACATGGATTAACAATATATTGAGATCAAACTTAGTTACCACTTGAATAATGTATAATTTTTTTTTACAACAAAACACTGTTGAGAGGGCTCACAAATTACACTATACATTCAGGAAAAAAGATATTTCTACAAAGCAAATAAACTTAAGTAAATTTATGCATATGCAGAATTGTGTACCTATTGTGACTCATAAATTAGGAAACTACGATGTATAGGTTGATAGAGTACTCAGTGGAGCAAAACGTTCAGCTGCGTGTCATTACTAGGAAATAACAAGTAAACAAGATTGGAGTTTCTAGCTCATTTGACATTAGTTATATAACACTAAAGCCCCGTGGAAAAGGCCAGGACAACTACACTAAAGTCATAGCAGACTTTTGTTTTTTTTCCTTCTTTCATTACAGTATTGGCATTTACAACATGCTTTGAGATTTTGCAGAATGCAATATATGGAACAGAGGTAAATCTCAAATCCTATGGAAAAACTAAGGACATGTGGTGAGTTGTACTCAAGTAAAGGTCAAAAAGGAGGCCAAAGCACTAATAAGTCAATTTCAACTCCAAGCAGAAGAAGTGGCCATATGTCTGTTCATCCAACCAAGATAAAGGGCACCATCTCTATGTTCAAGTCTATAATTTTGACTGAAGTCCTTTAGGAGATTTTGGGTAGCAACCATCACGGAAGAACTCAATTGGCACTGTTTAAATCCAGCCATGGAAAGTCTTGACCTCCACTTTCCCAAAAGTTCATGCCTTTCCACCCTCTCAACCCCCTCACAAGCTATCATGTTGACAATGTCTCGTGCCACACAGTGCTGCTCTGCGCTAATCCGCTTCTTATCATCTCTGGGGCAAGCCACATCTATGGATTCAAACATGGCAGTATAGTAGTCCAGAGTCTCAAGAAACCTGTAAAAGAAAGGAGATGTGTTGGTGTTGGATTCTTGCTCGACAAGGGTAACAACCTTGGGAGACAAGCTCTTGACCAACCTCAACAATCTATCTCTGTGATTCTCAGTGCTCACACTCTCATCTGCCATGTGGTGCAAAACAAAAGGAAAATTTACAGCCAGAGCTTCCCCCGGTCGAATTTCAACATTTCCTCGCACAACCTCACAGCCAGACATTGCGGCACTGTGGAATTCAAATGGAACTCCACAAGACCTGGCAAAATCTGACAATCTTTCTCCTACAATATCAAGTCCTCCACCTCGAGCATGAAACGACTGCGAATCATCAACACCGGTTACACGAAGGGAAGGGGGTCCCCCTGGCCTATGTGCAAGGGCCTGGATAAGTAAATACCACTGTGTGCCCTGCGCTATTTGGAAATCCATTATGTGAATCCTGGACTCATTAGCCATAGCTTCTATAATGACAGCATTTGCAGATGTGTATGCAAACTTCCAGTATGGGCAAATCTGGTAAAGGATGTGCATGTAACTCATTAGTTCTTTGCTTGTTGGTTGTTCACACTTCAAGGATTTGTAGATGAGATTCCCTGATGATTCGAACCTTGCTCTAAGCCCCTCCAACATGTAAGCACCCAGCCTCTGAATTGGATCTCCAGAGACTGATACCATTTTCCCCAATACATTATCCATCCACCCTCTTGCTGTTGGAATGTCATCATCAGACACGGCCTGTGCACATACCTCAAGGACTCCTTTCAGGTCAAATTGTGAAATATTTTCAGCAATCTGATCCCAGTTATGTTTAGCCAACTGAGATGCTCCGTAGAGGCTTCTACCCTTGACGAGGCAACCATAACTGTCGACAATGTCAGATTCGTCAGGCCCCAACAATGAAATCTCCAGTTCTCTAAGTTTGTGCTTCAGTTCATGCCCATCATCAACGCTAGACAAACCGCTTATTGGCGATCCATAGGTGTTGTCAGATGACTGGCGGTGATCTGAATAGCATGACTGAGACCCTTGTGGAGAAAATGGAGTCCTTTTAGATGACACACTAGCATAGGAAGGAGAATCATCACAATCCATGAAACCAGTAGTGGGTGCCGGGCATGATTCAAGAGTAAAGTATTGCTCCTTGCAGGTTTCAAAAGAAACGCTAGTTCCCTGGCTGCTGCTATCATGAGTGTCATGGCATAGATTGTTTTGCAACACTTGGTAAATGCCTTGCACCGGCTGGTGGTGATAGAAGTGTACACCAGCCGAACTTGGGTGTTTCTGAGACGTTTGCATCTAGAAAGAACTTGAAACTACGCCAAGAAAAACTAATGAGAATAGCAAGTACTCAATCTCAGTAATTGCGCAGGTTCCTCCCAACCAGACAGGGTCACTTGATGGTCATTCAGAGACACAGAGCTCAGCAGTAAAATTTTGCAGATTACTCATAGTCACCAGTTTAATATGAGTTGCTAGATGCAATAATTATCTGCCAACAACCGTTCACAGATGTTTAAAGGAAACACAGCCTGCATGGAAAGATAAAATTATCAGGAACACTTAAACGGCGAACAAACTCACTCTTAAGGAAGTACGATTTCTTTAAAGGTACATGTAGGTTGGGTTAATTTTCAGAATCTAAATTATCATTTAAGGACCCTAATTAACCATCCATATTTATAGATTACATCAACACGCTTTAAGTTACCATACACTAGTAACCATTTAAATTTCCCAACTGAGACATTAAATAATAGAGCACCAATGAAAAATTCCTTATATTAAAAAGGTAACCTAAAAGTAGAGACAAAAAAAATAATAATCGAGGAGTAAACAGAGAAAAAATAGAAAAATCTATATGAATCATGTTGTGTTTCCGAGGAAAAGAACTTTTGATCAGATACGCTAGCATTAACGCGTATTCTACGATTGACGAAACATACCCACAAATTGTAGAAATTTTTTTAACAAAAATAACGAAAGAAAGAAGAAAGAAATTCAATTCATTCGCCTGCCAAACTCACAAATCGTCGACATCTTCAGAAAGTGAAAGGATTTGAGTTAATCTCAAGACTTACAACAGAAAAGAGACTTAACCGCAAAAAAAGAAAGTTTATTTTATTTGTTTTTTCTTCGGGTTCTGCGCAAGTAAAACAAAACTCGGAGTAGTTCCTGAGAGTCCACGAAATCGAAAGATAAAGAGGACGGTTGGCCAACGGGAATCCTATGTTGGGAGTGAGAAAAAAAGGAGAAAATTTACAATATTGAAAGAAAGAAGAAATGAAATAGGGGAAGTTGAAAAAGAAGAGAGGAATGATCCAACAGACGAGGACATGAAGAAAAAATGAAGCAATGTCCAGAAGACATGAAGAGATGTAGCTGAAACCTAGGATATGTCTATGGAAAGCATACCTGTGTGATGGTTGAGTCAGAGTTGTGTTGTTTGGCAGAGAGGATGCGCAGTTGCAGATGCAGGTGATGCAGAAAGGAAAGATAAACTAAAAAAAACTATGGACTAATTGTGGGCGAGTTATGATTTTATAATATTTCAATGTGGAGGTGAAAGAAAAAGGTGGGTATGGAATCGTGGTATTTATGAGGAAGTGAAAACCCCATGTTGGTTGGAATCACCATGTAACATTACTCGGTTGGGTTGAACACTGTTAAGGAAGGGACTAGGAAAGTCAGCTAAACTACAAAGCTGAGTATGCAATGTACGATATAGAATTGAATTGTTCTGAACATGTAATGTAATAACATCCACACACAATCTTCGTCACCGCACACACACACACACTCTCTCTCATCCCATGTGCTCTCTGACAAGTCATAAATTATATCTACTCATACATCACCACGTCAAGTATCATCTTCGCCAATGTACCCCTCACACGTAATGGGTCAAGCACCAAAAAATATGAAAGAAATGAAAATTTGGGAGTGAAATTATTTTATCAAATTTACCAAAAAGGTTATTTTTCTCTTAAATTGAAATGAAATAGAACATACGTCGTATTTCTTTTTTTGCAATATAAAAGCTTTCAAAATATTTCAGAAAAACTAGTCCACTGAAAATATAACTTTGATCAGTATCGAAAATACTTTCTTTTTTGTTTATTGCTTATTGATTTAAATGCACTTTTTTCACTCTTACAGACCAGAAAGGAAAATTTATTTTTATCCAGAACATTTTTTCATATAGTTTTTATTTATTTTAGCTGGGAATGTAAAAATAGGTCAAAGTTGAACCATTTTTACATAAAAAATGTTCCCGTTAGGTTGGATTATATTAAAATATCAACTTAACATGCAAATGGGTTATAGTTTAATTAGTCAATTTTTTAAAATAATATAAATATATTAATTCATAAGCTAGCTCACATTGAATAAAAAAAATTATAGTTAACATCACAATCACATAAGTGTTATTTATTAAATTGTCTTAATGTAAATGCTTTTTAAAGCTATAGCAATGAATTATGCAAGAATAATTCAAAATTATTTTTCTACACCCTCCAACTTATAATAGAATTTATACTTTTATGTATTGTAAATATTATATTAAAATCATTTTATACCTCAAAGTCATCAAATGCGTTACTTTATTTATCATGTTTGATAAAATTAGTTAAAAAATGTTCACAAGTTGAATAACTAATTGATAGGTGTAGAACTAACTTTTTGAATATAAATACTTAGTAAAATTAGTCGTAAAAGTAGTTGATGATTCTAAAATAATAGTAATAAATATGTTAATCTAAAGTTTTATATAAATTTAACTTAATTGATAAAAATATTTCTTGACGTATTTAATATTTAAAGGGCTTAATTATTTTTGAACTTTTATATTATTTATTTATAGATTAATTGTTTCTAATTATATTTTAGTTTCAACTACTGTTATATTTTTTTCATTTAGTAAGTTTTATTGTTAATCATATTATACGTTAAAGTGTTTACAAATAAAATTAAAGCAAAGTGAACATAACGTAATCTAAGTTGATGTTATATTTTAGTGCAACAATTGAAATACCTTTAAATGTAATGTTAAAATTACACAATAAATAATGTAAGTAGCGCAATATAAAAAATGTAACTGAATAAATTTATCATTATCAAATCTCAAAGCAAAGTATAATTAAAAAAAATTATAAATAGCATAGTTATTTAAAAGTAACATACATAAATTATCCATAAAATAGTAAAAAAATAAAATAAATTTACTATTTATCGTTATTAATATCTTATAAAATAAAAACATAAAATAAAGAAATATATCTTATGTAAAAGAAAAAAAGAAAAAGAAAATAAGGATATGATTGTATTATGTGAATTAAAGAGTTGAATCACATAAATGAAACATTAGTTAGTAAAAAAATAATGGTAACGAATATGTGATAATGATTTGTTTTTTTTTGTAATGTAGAAACTCAAAAGTTAATAATAAACAAATAATAAAATATTCTTCATCATCATGTGATTTTCTTTTGTGTACTATTCATCTTCCATAGTCTTTTTTCTTTTGTGCAGGTCCTATAAACTAGTTGTGCAACCCTAACAACCATAATCAGAAATTGTACCCCCAACCACAATCGTGTGACGTGTATTGGAAAGGGGTCAACGAGGGTTAGTTGTGTTGTGAGTAGTCACAACTCATAAGTAAATTTTAGCAACACTATACTCATCACACTAAATTATATATTTTATTACTTATGGGTAGAATTATTGGATGAATTTTGTCTTTATATTAACTAAACAAGCTCCCTCTAATTGTAGTTACTTTAATTCATGTTATTGAAACCTATCCCTGTATGTATGGTTCTTTATTTCACAAGCATGGGTTGTGAAGTTAACGAGAATACAAGGATGTTCATGAAAACAACGTGCGGGAAGAAGAAGAATCTGGGTGCCTTGTTTCATGCTTCCAAGAAACAACTAGTTTATGTCAAGCTCTCTTTTTTTTTTTTTTTTTTTAATGATCATAACCATAATCACCTTGTCTGATTCACTCAGAAACATATTAGATACGACAATTTGAGATGTGTTATTTTCCAATAATTTAGACGGTGATTATTGCATAGGTATGATGGTGATTAATTAATTGATTTGCAACAAGGTCTACCTCACTAGGTTTGACCACGACTCCAACCCTCTTGGATATGATGAACTACTGTGTAGGAAAAAAAAAAAAAAAAGAAGAAAGCGGAGAAAAAGAGGAAATTGCATTTGGAAATGATTGATATCAGAATGGTAATGGTATTCATCAAACAGAAAAGAGAGAGAAGTATGAGATTGTATTCCTATCCTATCACCAACTCAAACTCAACAAGAAAACAAAAATAATGAAATATGAAGGCGCGTCACACACAACAAAACAAAAGGGTGTAAAACAACGTCACCCACGACTACGACGTCATGTAGGGGACACCAAACCCAATTCTCCATTCATTGAATATATTGAAGACATAGTGTGCATGTTATTATTATTGTTCAAAAGCACTTTGTTATTCTCAGATTAATTAAACATGAGACATATGAGATCAGTTTTACTCCTAGATTAGATGAATAAGTAAAAAAATTATGGAATAAATGTATTAAGGAAGGTAAAAGTGAGGAGAGAGAATGGAGAATAGATCGATAGAAAGGTTCTGTGGTGATCTTATCTTTGCCACCCCAATTTATGAAAAGAGAGTTTGGGATTGGGCCCATCACATCTCATGCAATCCAATGGTTGCAAGAAGATATTATTTGTCTTACTCTCAATCTTCGCCACCACCGTCTTTCCTCTTTCCCTGCACCCTCACTGTTCCGTGGAATCACCTTTTTTTTTCTTTTTTTCCCTTTTCCCTTCATCGAACAACACACATTCCATTCCATTCCTATTCCAATTCTAAAAATATAATTAATTATTCTACCCTTTTCTTCTTCCTTTAAATACACTTGTAATTTTTATTTTTTAATGTTATTTAAGATTTTCTATAATAATTTGTTATATAAAATCACAACAAATTTTATAATATTTACTATTGCCATGATAATGTATCTGTGATACATTTTTTTATTGTGAAAATCTATTTATTAAATACAATGATTTTAGGTTTAACAATAATTTTACAAATTGTTATATTCAATTAATATAGTGTTTAGCCATATTCTTTAAGTCGGTTATATGCTTGTTTAATAAAAATAGTATTTAGAGTCATTATGGAGTGAAATTTAGTTACTGTATATAATTGTTTTTTTAGGAAGCACCGATTCTAAGTGAAAATGGAGGTAGTTTATCACAAACTTTTCTC